ATCTATGTCTACATAAGATACTTAAAATGCACTATGCAAATGCTAAATTAACACCTATTAAGAACCTCTAGACTACATTATGTATAACTCTAGTATAAACTTTACTTTAGAAGATTTTTAAGCTTATGTAAAAATTATAAGAGCTACATGTAAGTAGATGCCTATAGAAGCACATTAGGCAGTTAAAAAGGTTAAGCGCGCGCATACACCTTTTTAACAAGTGTTTAACATCCTAAAGACTAAGCTAAGTAACTGTATAGATAATAAGGCTATCCTACAGATAGCAGTTAAGGCTCTAAACAACATAGCTAGCCTACACAGTCTAGTACCCACACTGCTAGTCTTTAAAGTATACCTAAGAATTAACCTAAACTCTCTACTATTACTAGACATTATTGCATAAGTAAGCGCTATATAAAAGGTAATAAAGATACTTTAAAAAGACTATGTAAAAGTAAATATTAATTATATAATTAACACTTATAATAGCTTTATAATGCATAAAGTTCTTAACCTCCCCCTTAGCTTAGAGATTATAGCATAGAGAGAGAAAAAAGGCTAGACTAGCCTATATAAGATTAAAAGCATTAAAGGGAGAGACATTATTATTAAAAAAAAAATAGCCTACTAAAGCTCTAATATACATAGGTTAAACTATACTATAAAGAAAAGAAGAAAGATAACCTACTTATAATAAATAACCTAGATAAACTAATCTCTATATAAAAAAATTCTTTAAAGAAAAGGAAAAAAAAATAGCCTTATAAAAATATTATAAAGGCAGAACTAAAGCCTACTACAGACTAAGCCTCTTAAGATAGCAATGCCGCACTAGTGTAAAAAGAAGATATAGATACTAAGAGAAGTAAAAAGTAAAGAAAACCTATATAAAGTCTAAACTAGGTATTTTTAACCTAGAAAAAAAAAGATAATTAGGCCTTATCTATTAAGCTCTATATAAATAGTGTAATTACTACACCTAAAAAACTATTTAAGAAATTAGACTATATAAAGATAAACACCTTAATTACTAATAGCACTTTTAAGGTTATAGCATATAACTTAATAAAGTATAAAAGTTAGATTTTTAACCTCTGCCTTATATAAAAAGTAAAAGGTAAAATAACTTAACTATATAAAAAATCCTGCCTAGTGTTTGCTAGCTACTTAGATAAAGAGAAAAAAGAAATTCTTACTTAGTTACTAACTATTTAAAAGATAAGCTAAAGACTACTTTTAGCTATAAAAGTAAGCCTAAGAGCTATATACAGAATGCATTTTAAACTATGTAATATTACATAAGTATACATTTAATTAATAGATAAGCTTATGCGCATGCTGTATATAAAGCTACTAAAGAAGATGCGCTAGAGCTTTCTACTAAATATAATACTCTAGGTTGTATAACCCTTATATAGAGCTGCTAAATTAGGACTGTATTAGTTTAAGATATACTATAACTACTATAAAAAAAAGCTGTGTATGCACATCTTTTTATATAACCTCTACTTTTTAATTACTAATAAAGAAGAGCACACCTTTAGTATTACTAGCCTATAGACAGATAACACTTTAAGTATTATAACAAAGAATTTTACATAAAGAGAAGAAAAAAAACTATAAAAGGTAAAGTTTTACATAAAAAGTAAAACTATTTTAGTAAAAAAGCAGCTTATTAAGTTTAATAGTAGAAAAATTAAACTTACACATAACATAGTAGTTTTTACTTAGAAGAGATAAGTAAGCTACCTTTATATAATTAACCTAAAAGACAAAGATGCTGCATAATAATATATTAAGTAATGTGCAAGAGGGGCATATATTGCATTTATATGTTAACTAAAGGCAGCATTTAACTTTTTTATTACTGCATAAACTATAGACCCTTTACATAATAACATTAATGCACTTAACGCACAAATCTAATAGCAGATAGATAATAGTAAGCGCAGTTTTACTTTTCTACTATTATAGCTTAATTATGCAAAGCTGTTTATCTTTATAGATAAATTATTTACTAATAACAAGGACCTTAGCTTATAGCTAGAATTTTTAATTATATTAAGTAATAAAGACTATATAAAGCAAAGCAACTACTTTAAAATACTAGGCAACATTATACACTAAAATTCTACTAAGTGTAAAAGAGTAACTAGAAGTGTTCTTACTAGTAAACTATATAGAATAGTTAAAGAGTTTAATAATGCAATTACCTTTAGTACAACTCTATAGTAAATTATATAAACACTTAAACTACTACTAATTCTAGTAGTAATCTGCATAGATTTAAAGTTTTTATATAATTACTTTATTAAGCTAGGCACTACTAGTAAAAAGTAACTTATAATTAACATTATGTTACTTTATAAATTATATAAGAAAAGGGAAATTACTAAAATTAAGTAAATTAATAGTAAAAATAACTTAGTAAATATATGTATAAAGAAAACACTAAACTAAGCTTTTTAATTACTAGTCTTAACTAACTGCCTCTCTGTCTAAATAGAAGCATCTGTGGACTAGCTAGATCCTGTGCGCAAAGATGCCTTAGACTAACTAGACTAACAACACCTTTATATAAGGCTTATTTCTTTTTATTTTATTTTATTTTTTTTTATATTATATATAATTATCTTTCTTATTATAAGGATCTATTACTGCTAGCACTATATAAAAAGAGAAAAGAGCTAGGGGATTATACAGCAAGGCTTAGAAAGTAAAGGATAAAGAAGAGAAAAGCTATTTACATAGCACAACTAGCTTATTCTAATGTATAGCATTACTAAGGCAAGTCCTAATAAATAGGGTAGAGTAAAGGCAGAACATAATTAGATAAACCTACACAGACAGAAGAGAGGTAACGCGTACAGAAAGTAACTCTTTAGACAAAAAGAAAAGTTGCTAGTGTCTGTACGCAGCAGCAGCGTCACAGTCTAGATACAAGCAATTGCGCACAAGTAGGATCACGTATCTATGTCACATAATGCTTGTGCGCAAACCTCTGTGCGCAAACATCTAGATATCCTCTTTTTCCTCTGTATAGAGGAAAGACAAGAGTAATAAAACTAGAAACATGTTGCTCTTACCTTACCTACCTTGTACGCTGTGCACACTGTACACTACTCTTACTCTTGCTACTTAAGTGCTCATACTATAAGCAGCTAGCTGTCGGAGCCCATTCAACATTAAGCTAGTTTATACTAATATAGCTTATATTATGCTTAGTGTGTAAAGAATTAGCTATATTAGCTATAGCTGCTAGCTAAGGGGGAAATCCTTACGCATCTAGCTTAAGTATGTGCTAAATAATTACCTACTTTTTATTATTATCTAGCTTTTATAAGTTAGCTATATAATTAGCTTAAAAAAGTTATTTAGTGTGTTAGTTACTTATTATCTTTTAAAAAACTTTATAGATAGCTGCAGTGTGTTAGTTAAAAAGTGTTATATTTTATTTAAAAGCCTAAAGTGTAAGCTATATCTAATGTTTCTTTAACACGTCTAAGTAGTGTTATTAGGAATGCATTAGTGTAAAAAAAGTAGTGTAGTAGGGTCTTAGCAAAAGTAAGCAACTTAGGTGTGTGAGCAACTCGCCCATGAAGTACGTTAGAGGGGACTATAATAAAGGCTAAAGAACGCGCTATACATGTTATTATTATACATAACTACAAACTTAAAGACAAGCCTGCCTTAGAGGGGGGTAATGTAATAGTGCTGCTTGTTAAGCTCTACTACTAGTTATATAATCTTACTAAAAGTTAAGTAAGCGCGCTAGCGCCTTAGCGCTGCGTAAGCTTTTCTCTTACAAAAACCCTTTACCTCCTTTACTCCCTATCCTAGTTTAGCTAAAATAGAGCCGACCTACTCTACCTTGCTTCCCCAGCTCTATACAGTAGTAGAGACAGTGCTTGTTATTATATAGTATATTAGTTATTTATTATTTTTAAAAAAACTTTATACATAGCTGCAGTATATTACTTTAAAAGTGTTATATTTTATTTAAAAGCCTAAAGTGTAAGCTATATCTAAATTTTTTTTTTGCACGTTTAAGTAGTGTTGTTAGAAATGCATTAATGTAGAAAAAATAGTTTAGTAGAGTCTTAGTAAAAGTAAGTAACTTAGGTGTGTAAGCAACTTGTCTATAGAGTACGTTAACTAAGTCATAGCTACAACCCTCTGTAAAGTACAGAGAGGCAGCAGTCTTATATACCTAGTAGTGCTTGCTGTCCTCTTTTAAACACGTTGTTCCCCTGTCGGCCCAACTAGACCCTCGTAACAGACTTCTATTATATAGTCCTGAATAACGGGGAGCTTCCGAATTCTATGATATAACTGGGAAGGACAGCTGTAGCACCTCCGTGTGTGGTGACAGAACTGACCGAGGAGGTGACTAAGTTACACACATACTTGTGTCCTTGCAAGTAAGAAATATTTTTAAGTAGAGACTGACGAACCCAAAGCGGGACTTGGTGGCGATATGGAGGTCCCACTTCTCTACTGGGAGAACAAAGTAGGTACTACGGCGGGAGCACTCCTACTGAACGCCTAAAGACAAAATACTTCCCCACATTAATTTTACGCTAGAATCTAGATTGAAGGGTTGGTAAATTGTACAATGAAATCCACTGGTTTCACACCCAAGCGGGATCATAAGGTTGTTATTCTAATGTCCAGACAACTTAAAACTCGACAGAACAGGCACGTTGGAGAACCTCCCTGAACATTCTACGCTCAACTTAACCTTGTGCTTTCTCAAAATTGTATAGTCCCCATTCGCGCGCACTCGCAAATAGCGCAATCTGATCTTACCACCTGGCAAGACTAGATGTAGAACTAGCCGAGAGGGTGCGGGAAGTTTCTGGGCTGCGATAAGTACCATAGGAGGTGGCTAGTAGAGGCAGTCTCAATCTCGGTAAGGAGACGCAGATGCTTGAAAAGGAGAATTCGTACTTGCGTAGTCAAACCACGCTGCTGGGCGTCAAGGTTCACGACAGGAGAGTACCAGAGGTGTGAACTGCAGTAGAGGCCACTTGTAAAATTAATCAAGAGGATGGTATCTTTTCAAGAGGCGAGCTAGTACACCGAAGGCACGGAATTGTTATAAGGCGTCTTGCTTCTTTGGCTACCTTGAGCTTTCACCTGAGTATTTCGACTCTTCATCCTTATCCGCAAATAGCGTCTCTTGGGCTGTCCAAAAATGAGTCTTGGGTTCTAAATACTGGCGCATGTAGGGAATGACATACCGCTCCATAGTTCCGAATAGAGCCCAGCACGATCGATCAATTGCTGGTGCGTTCCACTCTCTGCAACTTGGCCAGCCCGGAGGACAATAATGAGATCACAATCGTATATTGTCCGTAGACGGTGGGCGATGAAGACTGAGGTTCTGCTTTTCTCCTTCAAGATACTATTGATGTGTGACAACAGGGCTTGCTCGGTATGCGTATCCAATGCCGATGTCTATAGTCTCAATTAGCAGATTACATTGAGAGGGTAAAGTAGAGGACGCACTGCTTCGTCAAAGAACAGCAAGGGAGGATCTTTTAGAATTAAGCGGGAAACAGCAAGGCGCTGTTTTTCTCCTCCTAATAATTGTCAGTACATGACAAGGAACCTGCAAGTGTCGGGTCTGATCTACCAGATATCATCATTCCACGCTCTCCTACCATGGTTCTATATCCGTCTGGGAAGTTTTGAATAGTATCGTGTACACGCGCTTTCTTGGCTGCCTCGATAACCTTTTCTCGGGACGCTTCTAGATTTCCATAGCGGATATTATGCTCAATGGTGTCGTTGAAAAGGGGCGTGTCTTGGGGTACAACTCCAATTGCTTTTCGCAAGCTTTCTAGGCTGACGTCCCGAATATCCTGGCCATCAATCAGGATGCGGCCCTCTTGCACATCGTAGAAACGAAACAGGAGACGGAGAATGGTAGATTTTCCGCACCCACTGGGACCAACCACAGCAATTTTCTTGCCGGCAGGAATGGTAAGTGTAAGATTCTTGAGAATTGGTCGGTCCGGTCTGTAACCGAATGTGACATTCTCGAACTGAATATCTCCAGCAGTGAGAACCAGGGGCTTGGCATCTTTCTTATCCATCACGGAAATGTTGACCTTCTGTAGGTTAAACAGGGTCTCCATATCCAGTAAGCTTTGGCGGAGCTCACGATATACGGAACCGAGGAAATTCAGCGGGACGGAGAGCTGAAAGACAAGCTGGTTGACCATGACGAGATCTCCAACGGTCAATTGTCCAGTAGCAACCCCACTAGCTGCAAAATACATCATTGCTGTCAACGCGCTGGAGAATATGATATTCTGGCCAGAATTGAGAAACGCGAGAGAAGTAGCTACTTTGATGGACGCCTTCTCGTAGGCTTGCAAGGCTTTGTCGTATCGCCCAACTTCGTACTTCTCATTATTGAAATACTACACACAGGATTGAGTAAATTCACCTTGCAATCACTAGAGGATCATCACCATACCTTGACAGCTTCGTAGTTAATCAAAGAATCAACTGCAACAGTAGCTGCTTTGTTGTCGGCAGCGTTCGCCTGCTTTCGAAACTTAGTTCGCCATGAGGTTGTTAAGATTGTGAAAGCAGTGTAGGCGGCCATAGTCACGCCGGTGACGAGGGCAAATTTCGCTCCATATTGATAAGTCTATACAGGTTAGAGTGAAACTAGTAGAAGGGAGCCCCGAGGAGGTTTACCAGGATGCCACAGACGAGAAAGATCTCCAGTGCAGTCGGGAGTACGTGGAACACCATGGAGGTCAGTAGGAATGAGATACCTTTGGTGCCTCGGTCTATGGCTCTGGTCAAGCCACCAGTGTGCCGCGCTAGATGGAAGCTGAGATCGAGCTTTAGCAGATGCTCATAGACACTGCAAGCCACTCTCCGAATGGCCTTCTGGGCAACGCTGGCGAAGACGGCATTACGAAGCTCCTGGAACAACGTAGCTCCTACGCGGGTTGCCCCGTCTGCTCATTTAGTCATGACCTATGACGGCGTTTGAGGTCCAAGACTGCTTACAGCACACTATCATGGAACCAGCCACTGTCCATGCCGTCCCGCCCACGACCAGGAAGTCAATATTCATTGAATCGACAATGGTCTTGAAGTAGAAGGGTACCTGGACATTGAGAAGCTTGGCCCCGACGAGCAAGCCAACAGAGAGGCCAACTCGGAGCCTTGTGCCCAGATTGTCCTTGGGCCAAAGGTATCTGGACATCTCCTTCATGATGGCCCAATCGGCCTTGCGCTGCTCTTTGTTCGACACTAGGGGCTCCGCAAGTAACGGTGCGGATGGTTGTAAAGGCTTCGCCGTTTTCGTGTGCTGCACAGTTGCCGGGGAGCCGGGGTGCGGCCGATGGCCGTGTACATGTTTCCTATGCAGTGGACTGGTCGCGAAGACGCGTGTGGCAGGTGAGTGTCGAGGGTGGGATCGTAGCGTTCCGAGAGTTGGCCGCAGGCACCCTGGCCGAGCGAAGAGGAGGGCCAGCATGGGGAGGGATTGGGAAACTGCGAGCCCCACGAAGACGCGGTATTTCCAGGCTCACCGTGGTGTTTGTCATGTTTGCTGTGTTTGCAGCCCTGCAACGCTGATATGTCAAACTCCATCCTCACTGCTCTGCCTCCCGTCACATTCACCCATCTAGACACCCTTGTCACATGCTCCGCTGTCGATGCTGCTGAAGCTCAGAGCTGTCAATTGACGCCACCATGCCTCGTCCAACCGCATCGCCACTACTATTGACACGCTTCGCCCGTCGCGCTCCCACGTCACCGCTCGCGGCAGGCCGATGCATCAACATCACGGCCGCGGCGCTTTCCAAAGCGTTCTCTACCCAGGTTCCAGGGCCAGCACACATCAATACAGCGGACAGCCCGACCCAGAGCCCAGGGTCGTCGCCGGACGCGCGCTTCGAGGTGGTCGGCTCCCCGTTCTCACTCCTCTCCGTGTCCCTTGATGCCTCACAGTACCTCTACACCCGCCGCGGCACCCTGGTCGGTCTGAGTGGGAAAGCCGAAAATGTGCGTCGCTCCTGTCTCGATGGCTCTCTCGGGAATTGACACGCGCAGACTCTTTCCACGCTCTCGTTCCTCGGCCCGATCCGTCGCGCCCCATTCGGCATCCCGTTCCTCTACCAGAAGGTCTCCTCGACAAGCCCCATCACCGCCCTCGTATCCACGAAATCGCCCATTGCGTCCATTGTTACCGTCACCCTCGATGGCAGAAATGATTGGCTCATCGCCCAACGCCAGGCCCTCCTAGCTTGGACCGGCCAGGCCCTCTCTTTGGCCCCACGATACAATGTCAAGCTTGGAGTTGCACACTGGGGCAACACATATGTCACTGGCCGGGGTTTATTGGCTCTTGTGGGTAGCGGTCAGATCTACCAGGTCCAGTTGAAGGCAGGAGAAAGCTACATCGCTCATCCCAGGTATCTAACCCTTCCTCATACACTACTCGGCCATCTAGAGCTAACTAGCCGGCAGCAACGTCCTCGCGTACACGGCTGCTACAAACCCACCCTCTCCCTTCCGCTTCAAATCTGCTAGCATTCGATTCCAGATACCAGATTTTGGTTTTCGTTCGCTATTACTGAGCGTCAAGTTTTTCAGAGTCATGAGTGAGACAGCCACATGGACGACCTTAGCAACCCTATTTCACACGATGAAGATCTGGGCTAGACGGTCGATATGGGGTGATCGGGTAAGCTAACAAAACAAATCGCTTGACAAGACTTCTCACATATCTTAGCTGTTTCTCCGCTTTGAGGGCCCCACAACAATGTTGCTCCAATCACGTGGATCACGTATTAGCGATGTTTTGACATTAAGAGACGTCAGTGAGATCGCCGAGACTCCTCCTGGCGCAGTGCAGGATGCCGTCTCCAGGAAAATCCAGGAGGAAATCAAGGAAATCTCGTCTAGCTCCATATCCTCACAGCAAGCAATAGCTTCCCAGCCAGTACCAGACGGCAGTAAAGTTCAGTATGCGACTATCCGCAATGGTAAAGCTGAGTTTGATAATTCGTGAATACGATCATTGAGAGGGTATATGTAGCATATTGTATTGTATATCGTGCTTGTACGCCTAGATTTAGAGAGGTGCGTTAATGGGACGGTATACCCACTATAGACGTTGGCGGTGGTCAAGAGGGACGAAAGCTTGAACAGCATACTAACAGAAGAGTTCTTAATCCATGCTGAATGAACAAAATCCTAGTAGCTGAACGTGTGCGTACCCTTGATATATGACCCTACTAACACTTCTCCTTTCATCAGTAAAACCCCCTTCACTCCATATAGCTTCTCTTACTCCATCTACACTCCTCCGACTGCTCCCCGGCTTCTCGTGATACTCAATCCCGGGGTGACCGCTTCGACTCCCAGAGCTTATTCGATATTCGCGATATGAATGCGTAGAACCACGGGGAGGGCGTACAATCCCAGGAGATAGATGAGCAGAGTAGCCGGATTGATGGGGAGGAGAATCGGTCACACCGTAGCGTCGGTCGACGGTGGATGTGGTGGAGAAGATGGCTGGGCGAACATTTCTGGAGTCTTGGATGCAAGATGACGTCAGTCGCGGCCCTTGCCAAGGCTCCTGCTCCTGTCACAACCTCAGCCATGTTAACGTAATCCACCACTGAGCTGCGCACCCTCAATAAGAAGCGATAAGAGGACGAATATAAAAGGAAGATCGAGGTAAAGGCCTTTGTCGCATTCTGTGCCCCCCCATTGACCTTCGCACGAAGCCCCAAGAGAAGTCCATGCCACCGAACTTCCCAATGCACAATCTAATGTCTTTCCTCCTCCCCATGTTCTCTGTATACTACCCGGACGCAATCCGGCTGGAAGAAGTGGCGAATCCGCGGTTGAACCCCATCGTCGCTGACAAAGCCCGCCTGCCTCAAGACATGCTTTTTATTGTACTGGAGATCGACATCTTGGTCCATGAGCAATTGATGTTTGTAGAGAGAGTGAGGAGGGAGACGGAGATGGAGGGGCTGGAGGCATTTGCTGGAGAGTGAAGTGAGGAAGGGGAGAGAAAGTGCGAGAGAAGAGTTGATGCAAAGGTTATCGAGAAGGCCTTTCATGGGTGTATTGAACGTGAATTGGGATAAATGGACAATATAGAGTGGAGCTAATGTCTTGCCGATGCCAAAGTCCATACTGGAAAATGAGAGGATGGAGGCTTTTACGGCGAGCATGGAATTTATCAGGAAGGCTTATGAGAGGTGTGGATTAGACGTTATGATCATGTGAGGGGTCTAGTGAGTGCGGAGATGGGGTCGACGTAGGGGTAGACGTCGGGATTAGTAGCCGGAAGCCTGTTGCATGTTTCGATACCCACGAAGTTCTGCAGTATCTTCTCGCCTAACGTGGAACGTGAATAGGGGAGAGGCTATCTGTTCAACATCTTGCTGGGGTTAGGGAGGACGTTATGATGAAATGTTTTGCTCTAAATAACCCTTATAATGCTCCTTGTTAGATGACAAGAGGTGGTATTTCCTGTTTACGATGGCAGTCTAATCAGCACTTTCTTCTTTCCCATGCAGCATAATGTAGATGGAAACCAACTACTTTTCATCAATTCGTGATACCTCAGACTCCGTTACATGCGAGAAAGGTTTGCCCAAAATCATCTCCCCGCGTCAATGCATGATAGCCCTGCAGTCCCACACCATGACCCTCTCGTCCCAGCCCGTGCTGGCACACCACCCCTCGGCACCAAAGAGACACCAGTCAACACCAGTCGCGAACTCGGTGTGCCGCACCATCTTTCCCATTTCCCTCCCGCCGCCAAGCACCATGGGATCCTGCTGTAGCATGTTCTCTTGCTTGATTGTGCCTGCGCCCATGGCACTCCCGTCAGTCCACACGCGGCACGTCATGTCGTAGCTGGCACTAAGCAGGACGTCGGAGAGGTGCGGCGACCAGGTCACCCGCCGCACGGCGTACTCATGGCCGGGCAGGACAGCGACGGGTCCGGCGGCGGGGGCGCGGATGTCAAAGGTGCGGATCAGGCGGTCGACACCGGCAGTCGCAACGATCGTGTCCCGATACTTGTTCCAGTCGTGGGTGAGGGCCTCGGACGGTGGCACACCCACGGGGGCGGCGGCTCCCATGCGCGGCTTCGGTGGAGTGTGGATGGGGATGTTGAGGGTGAGGTGGTTACAGGCCGAGGCGGGAGTCCGGAGGTCGAAGATGCGAAGGTGGGAGTCAGAGCTCACGCTGCTGAGGATGCTCGGGCTGTGCGGACTGAAGGCGGCCGAGTAGGTGCACGAGTGCGTTGGCAACGTGATGAGGCTCTGGCTAGCATTGGGATTCCAGATCTTGACGGTGCCGTCCCAGCTGCTGGACAGGAACGAGTCCTTGGCCACCAGGTTCCAGTGCACAGCAAACACTTCGCGTGCGTGCTCCTCCCACGACTGGATGGGGAACTGCGAGAGCGTGATGTCGAACAGCTTGACTGACCCGTCGCCGCTGGCCGCCAGCAGCTGATTCTCATGCGCCTCGGACCAAGTCGTGTCAAAGAGCGAGTCTTGCGTGTCGAACCACTTCTCGGCCACGATGCCGTTCGGCGTCAGTCCAAGAATGTAGACGCGACCGTTGCCCACAAGACCAAAGTTGGCAGATGCGGCCACTGCGAGGCGCGAGTCGAAGAAGGGAGAGTACTTGACGCTGTAGCCATTGTAGCCCTGCGTGCGGTATTCGAGCATGGTGCCAGCCGCTACAATCCAGAGTCGATGTCAAAATGGGTGCTTCTGGCGGACCTCATCATTGGCAGGGGTTTGTTGGTCTTTTTTTTTTTTGACGAGTCGCAGATGTCTTTCTCATCGAAAGGCTGGCGTCAGGACCTGAAGCTTCATCCGAGCCTCTTTCCGCCTTAGCGGGGAAGCTGCCGAGAGACACGTGATAAGGCGATCCCGCGTCTCCAGCTTCAGCCGTCATCAGGCGTGTCCCTCACTATATCCTCTAGAGGCCATCCTAGAAATGGACATCTTCATATCACGGAAGCGACGACCGCATTCCGGCTTGCAAGCAGAGCCAGGCGCACGTATCGCAGCTAAAACCGCCATAGAGGAGGAATCTACCGACTTCAAGTTAGCGCTGCTAGCATCGCTTCACCCGACTCTTGACGACGAGACATTGCTTGAAGTTCTGCTAGCCTCGCAAGGGTCAGTCGAGAATGCTTCCCAAGCACTGAACCATTCCTACACTACTTCCCCGAGAAAAAGGCCTGCCACCCCCCGAGTTGGTTACCAGTCTTCGCTCGCATCCTTCTGCATCACCCTGCCCCAGAGGACCGGCCTCGCAAAGAGACCTTTGACAAAGAGAGGAAAAACATTATTCCTGTATACACCAGAGGACATCGAGGCCCACACACCATGTTCGATCATCCACAACTTCCTGCCCGCCGAACAGGCCGACGCCTTGCTGGTGGAATTACTCGAGGAATCTCCCACCTACTCCAAGCTGGAGTTTAAGCTGTTTGATAGAGTTGTCAAAAGCCCCCACACATTCTGTTTCTATGTTGACAGTTGGGACGAGGCAGAGAGGCAGAAGACTGAGTACATCTACGACGGCCGAAAGGTCGATGACGTCCGCCGCACCCTCCCTGAAATGCGAAAGGCTTCAAAGTCCGTCGAAGAGGCCGTGAATAGTGAGATCCAGCGTAGGATCCGGGACTTTTATCCAGATGGGAAGAAACTCAAGTACCAATCACCAAATGTCTGGAAACCCAACACCGCTTTTGTGAACTGCTATGATGGACCGAAGGAGTGCGTAGGCTACCACTCTGACCAGCTTACCTATCTCGGTCCCCGCGCAGTCATCGGCAGTTTGAGTCTAGGCGTAGCTCGTGAGTTTCGAGTACGCAAGATTCATGTTGAAGACAGTGATCTCCGCAAAGATGATAGTTCTCTCGCCGATGCCCAAGGGCAGATATCGATTCATCTCCCGCACAACTCACTGCTTATCATGCACGCAGAGATGCAGGAGGAGTGGAAGCATTCAATAGCTCCAGCTCAGGCGATAGATCCACATCCTCTGGCGAAGAACAAAAGACTGAACATCACTTATCGGTGCTACAAACAAAATCTCCACCCAAACTACACGCCGAAGTGTAAATGCGGAGTACCCACTGTACTGAGATGTGTGACGCGGAAGAAAGAGAACAGAGGTAGGTACATGTGGATGTGTCATACAAATTATATTCCTGAGCAGGATGGGTGTTCGTTTTTCCAATGGGCGGTATTTGACGACGACGGCGAGCCCTCATGGGCAACCAATTTAAGGACCAATGCAAAGAATGGAGAAAAAATGGAAGGAAATCCAGAATTGACAAGAACAAGCTCCGACGACAATCGAAACTGAAAGACGTCGACTAGCGGCCTTTCGAGCCACTTAGCTTGCAGTGGGATAAAATGATGATAAGGGAGAGGATATTGTCGTCTCCCTGTTCCTGAGGCTGCAATGCCGTCATCTCCACCGTCGTGTTTGGCACCAATCATTCATAACACGGTACGAGTAACTCATGTCTCCAATGCGGATGCTCCCCACAGTTCTGATGATAAGCATTTCGTGTGAAATGTTGCTGTCGCCACACCCAGCCCCATGTCGACGCCACACGGTTCGTGGAACATTGATGGCCTTGTGGCACTAAGAGAAGGGTATAAATAGAATAGGTCACGGTATCAATAAAGCAACATTCCTCAATCGTCAACGAGAAGAAAGCATTAATAAGGTTGAGTTGTCAGGTGAGTGCGCCGGTGCGTCGAGTACGATATTGGAGTCTGGGTTGAGTACTCTCTTGGGACAAGCGCCCAGCAAAGCGAATATTGATCCTTTGGACTGGGGACACAAGCAGCACAAGCAGCGAAAGCAGTACCAGCAAAGTCGAGTGCCATCAGCCAAAGCATTGACCGAAGCTTCGACATGGCGAATCTGGCTGGTTGCGCTGTGAGCTGCTGTTAAGTTCTGACGTTTTGGCCTCCATGGGGCATTGGCTCGGCCTTGGCCGCCGTCATGCTCAAGAGTCCGGGGCTGCTCATCCCGCAGCCAATGATACCCCTGCCTTGTGTCCCCTGCCGCATCGCGATGGAGTGATCGTTGCCCATTCTTGCTTGCATAGGATGCCTCATGACGTTCGCCGCACGTCTGTGCCGCTGTATCAAGAACAAGATGGATTCTAACAACTGGATCCCCAAAGTAATTCGCTGGCCTCAACAGGCTCATATCACCTCTCTCTGCTTGCCGCCTCTCAGAGTCTCCTGTTTGTTTTGTCTTTTTGCTCCCTGGCGCGATTGTTGTTTTTGTCTGCATAATACCACAATTCGTTCCTAGTCCTTGAGTTACCTCTCGATATCCGTCTTGCCACTCATATAATTCCTAGCCATTGGCTACTCACGCCGCATATAAGCCCGGCAATTATATCCATTCGACGTCGATTCGTCATTCTTATCCAAAACGTTCAATATCCCTCCTTGCGACCGTTGATATCGCTATTCTCACTAATGGAACGCGTACGACCCCAGCCCGCACACAAGTCGCCCGACCGCCAGAAATCCGTGTTTATGGAGGTTGGTTTGGTTGATGAAGAAACTGTGCGACGGGAACGCAATCCCACACCCAAACTTACGTCCACGCTAGTCTCAGATCCGACCCCGAGACGACTGAGACCCGCAAGAATGGTACGGTTTCGAAGCCAAGCAGAATTCTTCGAAGAGAAAGAGAGGGAAGGCCATGAGCACGATAGTGGGTGGGAATCGATATCTGATATTGAAGAATCAGACGACGAGACGCTGGCAACAATGAAGCTATATCCGAACCGGGCTACCAACACATTCTCCGGATTGTACAAGGCAGGACTACTAGTGCTAGTGCTAGCTTTGATGCTTCCTGTACTCCAAACCAGCCCTATTTCCACGATTGGGGTACGGGGGGGCGTAATACCACTGCAGTCGATCGACTATGTTCAGGGAGTACACATCTCCAAGCGAGAAGATACAAATACCCAGATATGCAAGAGGTGGAGCCATCAAGGTACGTATCGGGTTACGGATATATATTTTTGTCTAATTGCTAACCTGAAAGCGACCATTGTGAACGGAACGCTTTACATGTATGGTGGCCGCTCTAGTACGGATGATCAACAAACAAGCAACACCTGGAGTATGACTTTTGACCAATTTCAACGCATCAGATTGTTAACCGTTGTAGATAATGACTTCCTGGCCCTCGATCTCACGAAGGCCTGGCAAATCAGCAGTCCCTCCCTCACCGGCCTTCCGCGGCCCTCGGGGCCACCTAAGGTTGCAAATGGATATCTCTGGAACTCATATGACTCGCTTTTCCTTTACGGTGGCGAATTCTCTGACGATCCCGTAGCGACGCCCGTTGGGACCTCCATGTGGGAGTACAACATAGGCTCGAAGCAATGGATCGAACATCGAGACCCGAAGAGCTCAACTGGCGCGAATGCGGAAGGAGACGGTCAGTCAATTCAGCGCTCGGCAGAGGGCGCTGGCTTCGGTGTAAGTACGCTAGGTCGAGGTTGGTACTTTGGTGGCCATCTAGATTATCTTACCACTGAAGGCTGGAACATCCAAACAGCGAGAGTCTACCTCAAGAGTCTAGTCGAATTCACCTTCCCAGGCTTCACTAACAATGCCGTTGAGTCTCTCCGAAATGGAAAACCAGCGGGCTCGGATGGGACCTGGAGAAATATCACGGAAGGTGGCTTGCAAGACAGCGCTGGGTTTACTGAAAGAGCTGATGGACTTTTGGTATATGTTCCTGGGTTTGGTGATGAGGGCATCCTGCTTGGTCTCACCGGCGGCACCAACGCTACCTTTGTAAGCTTCGAATCATCTTCGATGTTGGTTGGATGGTTCGCACTGACACCCCTAGACGCAAATGAACGTGATCGATGTGTACGATATTGCCGAGTCGACCTGGTATAAGCAGACTACCAGCGGCAAGATGCCAGAGTACCGTGTCAATCCGTGCGCCGTAGTGGCAGCCGCGGCAGAGTAAGCCTTCTTCTCTCCACCAAGACACTTGAATAGCTTCATTTGCACTCCTTGCTTCGCGATTTGCTCACCAAATAATGTAGTGGCTCTTCCTATAACGTATACATGTTTGGCGGCCAGAATCTCCAACCCTTCAAAAACCAGACCCAATACGATGATATGTGGATCCTGTCCATCCCAAGTTTTACATGGATCCCGGTCGATATGTCCAAACAATCCGTCCCGTATGCTCGCGCCGGCCATTCCTGCAGCGTCTGGGACGGGCAAATGGTTGTAGTAGGCGGTTATGTCGGACAGGAACTGTCCTGCGACTCTCCCGGCATCTATGTCTTCAACATGTCGAGCCTGGAGTGGTCAACCCAATTCACTGCGTTAACTGGTGACAGGGCACTACAACCTTGGAGCGGTAAGGGTGATGACAGTGCGAACCCGCTCGCACAGCAGGCAAACCAACGGGGCTTCAACAGCTCAGCAGGACTCGAAGGATCGTATGGCTACCAGGTCCCAGTAGCCGTTCAATCTGTCATTGGAGGCAAGGCTACCGGCGGTGCAACCCTTACTGCACCCGTTCAGACTCCAACCAGTGGACCCCTTGCAACTGGAAAACCACAAACATACACGGTCACTGGACCTAACGGGGCCATCATCACTAAAACTTCAGTCCCAAATACAGGAAACAAAGGCTCTGGGACTAACGTCGGCGCCATCGTGGCTGGTGTCATTGCAGGTATGTGTGCAACTATAGCAGCATATTTCGCGTTCTGTGCCTGGATCTACAGAAAACAAGTCAAGATATGGAAGGATCACGCCACCATGGTCACCGGGCGCTCAGCCACGAACGAAAAACATGACCCTTGGGCTGCTCAGGGTGCCACGATTTCCTCATCCGGCAAGAACTCTAGTGAACGCGCAGCCAGAGAAGTAGCTCATAACATCATGAGCACGACGAATACATCCAGTGCCAACTCAGGTCTACATCCTAGTTCCGTTAAAGACCCATGGCCTAGCGATGACACTCGAACCGCCTATCAAGGCGCGACAGGAGCTGCGGGAGGTAGTGGGACTGATGCGTTGGGGAGGAGAAGTAGTGTGGGGAGTTCGACGGATGACCTGCTCGATGGGCAGGAGCCGGCTTTCTGGGGTTCAAGAGGTGTACTGTTAAACCCGAGGAGGAGTTTAAGGGTTATTAATAGGGATTGATTGATGCGTGGCGCTCTCGTGAATGGAGCTATGATGTGGTGTTTTTGTCTAAGGTGTTTTTGTCCAAATTTGGGAAGTTTTCCCCTCAATTAAGGTGTGTGTCATGATTCCCATCTTTCTGTCGTGAATCACAAGTGTGGGTGAATTCTCTTTGACCTAGCCGCTGTTTAGGTCAGCGGAGTGGCATTCGTCAAGGAACAACGAAATCTTGTTCCGAACACCATTAGAACTACTGGCTAGGCAGCATCAATCCGACGCCGTAGAAGGGAGCGCTGAAATTACAACCACGAGAAGCGCCAGGAGCTTGGGCACCCTTTAGAATTTGCAATGTCATGAATAGGTAGGATGGGTAAGGGGTTTGGAGCATGCGTACAGGTCTGACGACCCGAGGTCCTTCTTGAAGCAGTCTATTCATTGTCTAATTCTGGTTGATCGCTCGTGAACTTGATTGTTGGAAAACTGAGGGACCTGGGTTCGTATATTCCTGGAAAGATTGGGCAGAGTGGGGTGTGAAAGGGGCGAAGTGAGGGATGGCGTATTTCTAAGCGTGGAACTTCTGTCGTCGACGCGGAAGCAAAGGATAACCGTGATGATAGCGAAGTGACTAAGTTTACTCCTATGAGCCTCTTACGAGTGCAAGGACAGTCAAAATATGGCTTTAACGTAAATGAAACCACTATGACTATTTTACACCACCAAGGGTTTTTCTTTGATACAAATGATTATGGTACGAGCTGGGGGCCAAGATGCTCTGTAGCGAGTTGCTATGGATCTAAGTCGCGGTTGATGTGGAACTGTCTGTAGCCAAAACCGTCCATCGTCTTGTAGTGGCCAAGCCCCTCCATCTCTGTCCACACAGCCGGATAGCGCTGCCGAATCCATGCCTCGACCTTCCTTTGTCTCTCCGAATTTGTCGTTGTGTTGAACCAATTGCTGAGTCTGTTATAAGGTTAGAAAACGAACTACAAGTGAGACAGGATCAAAGTAGGTCGAGGTCAGGGTTTAGGTGAGAACTGACATATACAAATCCGGAGTAAACCCATACTCTTCTTCTACAGTCTCCAGCATTTGCACTGCTTCATCATGCAGTTGGTTCCGAGCTATAGCACATAGATATGCTGTCCAAATCTCCTTGTCAACATCAATATCCATCTCCTTCAGTCTCCGCCAGATCGGCTTTGCATGCTGGTCTCCCCAAGGCATTCCCTCGCACGAACGGAAAGCAATGGCTATGCTTCTGTACGTAGGACCTTCCTTGGAAGCTACAATCTCGGCCCAGAACTCCAGGGCACGTCGATTGTTGCCAGTCGCTGCGTACGCAAGCATCAACGAGTTCCTCAGCTTTGTATCTAGCTCCACGTTTAGGTCAAGTTTGAGCTGGTTGTGGATGAGCTCGAGGCTCTCCGCATCCGCATTGCGTGCAAAGCCTGTGAACACGGTGGCGTATGCATCTCCGTCGGGTCTAACGTCTAGAGAGGCGTGATTTCGCATGTGGAAAAATATGTGACATGCCATATCGGAGCGACGGCGAGCAAAGAATTCGTTCATGAGGCGTACACGAACATGACGAGGTGTCTCTTGGAAAACCTGACGGAGGATCTGGTAGGTGTCCCAGGCATCGGCGGTGCTGTTGTCGCGGTTCATGATAAACTCAGCCAGTTTACCTGAGATAATGGCACGTTGTTCCGGTGCGTAATGGTACGTGTGGATTTGGAGGAGATCCACAGCGTCATCACTTTCGCCCCTTTGCAGATGCAAGGTGCAGAGCATGGCAATGGTCTGGGGTACAAATTGTGCTTTACGTTCGTGCAAGTCATCAACGACTGCCATTACATCGTCAAAGTGGTGTCGTTTCGACCCACACATAGCCTGTATGAGCTTGTTGACGACTTCTGTGCTCTGGTCGTCCAACTGTTCCCCTTGAAGGCCATAATAAGCTGCCCTTGCTCCATCAATGTCGTTCGCGGACAGCCGGTACGCTATTTGCATACAATAGGTCTTTGCATTGGGGAGGATACCGCGCTTTTCACCAAGGGCAATGTACCGTTCCGCTGAGTAAGGATCCTTCCTCGACATGCAAAGCTCGACCAGAGCGTTGATGGTATCGATATCAGGGCACACGACAGGACGTGCCGGATCTTCCCTGCGCCATTCATCATTTCGACGGACCATTACGTTCATCATTCGATCGACCTCATCCACCCCCTTGCCAATGGCAGCGGACCACAGGAAGATGGCGTCCCAGGCTGCCTTGGTAGGTAGGTCTTTCAACAGGGAAGCTACGACTTGCTGACCAAATGAAGGGTCTCCGTCGAGAGCGCAAGCTTTCAGAATAAGTGCGTGGGTGTGTACGTTTGGTTCAATATCCTTTAGACCTTGGGGAGTAGCAGTGGGTTGGAGATACCAATGTTTGGCCTGTTCAAAGTCTGCCTTCTGTACAAAGAAAGCTACTAAAAGTTGTTGCATGTTCGGGGTGAAGGGCACCGAGAGTCGGCGAATGATGTCAACAGTCTGAAGAAGGCCTTCTTGATTTTGTTCGCGTGAAAATCCCTTTAGGACATAGGTCCAAGTTGCGAGTATGGCTCGAACCATGGGGAAGGGGGTGTCAGGGGTGATGGGACCAACAAGTGTCGTCGCTGCGAGTTCTCGGGCCTCTAAGGCCGCACCATTCAAACAGAGGATATTTAGAAAAGCCGGCAGATCTGAAAGCTGATAGATGGCGAGGTCTGGTTCGGCTGCTTTTTGCCTCGCATTCAATTCTTCATGAAGAAGTCTAGCAAATGCTAACGAAGCTTTTCCACTTCCTGGTGCCCTTCTTCGAAGACTACGGAGTATTTTCAGTAATTCCGGGGCAGACATCCACGGCTGTCCATCAGATTTTGGAGTTGCTTGGATATAGTTGTAGGCGTTCATAGCGGCGCGGAGGTGGAAGTCCTCTGGCTTCTTGTCGTACTTGGTAAAAAAGATATTGAGGGCCTGGGCCACATCGGAAGGCGGAGGGGGCCGGGCAGCAATACTCTGCATGTGTGCCAGATCCAACAGGGTGCCCAGGCCGGGAGGCACATCTGGGTCTTTGATTTTGCGGGCGGGCTTGAATAGGTTGAGGAAGCCTCTCTGCTGGCACGTGGGCCAACCATTGCGGAAGCTGGCTGCGGTCCGCGGGCTGGGCGGGGAGTGGACACAGCCGCGATACAAGACGGGTCTGTTGGCGATGATGCTGCGAAAGACGAGGCGAGTGAGGTGTGACGGCATGGTCAAGGAGCTACTGTGCTAGAAGGGGCGCCATTGGGGACAGACCAACTGGGAAGTATAATACAAGAACGGGGAGAACGAATTCACAGGGCAATGGCGGGATGCCGGGTCGTGATGCGCGGGCGGAACAGAGCAGCAGTCACGATCAACACACCTGCAAAATCGAGCACGGGCTTGGCGCCAAGCACCGCAGCTTCCAAGGTTTCTTCTCCTGTGCGACTCGCACCTTCCACCAGCAATTGCGATTGCCATTTCCATGTCGCTGACCCTGCTCCCAGTCCCACTTCCAGCAAGCCTGCGTGGACAATGCGTGCGAGGCTTTTCTTCCGCCGTCCGCCGCTGCAACAATGGTGAGCCCGCCGTGTCCCCGTCCCTGGCCCTTTGTCGCTGCATGCCTGCTGAAGCTACCACCTCCAGACATATTGAACATTCTGCAAGGGTCGAAGGCCTCGCAAAGTCACCCATCCAATGCCGCGCCCAGACCTGCCCCCCAAACTGCCTCCCCGTCCCGCAGTACCTTCGCTCAGCAACTGCTGCCAAATCCACGGTCGACGGCTGCAGAGTCGGAAAGATCGGCCAGGGTCGAGGCCTTCTCGCGCCAGATTTTCCGCAAGTGGCAGCCTGGCGATGTGTACGCACCACATGACCTGTCCGGCCCGGAGCAGAAAAAGTGGAAATTTGGACGGCAGACACCTCAGACCGATGCCTTTGACACACTGGGCATCAACCCTGTCAACGAATACAAGGTCTGCATTTGCCCGGAACGCATTGAAAGGTGCCAGTCATGGCGTGCATTGCTGACCGGGTGTAGAATTTCACGATGATGTCTGAGTATATGACGGAAATGGGACGGATAAAGCACTCCAACCAGACCGGTCTGCGACCCGTCAACCAGCGAAAGATTGCAAAGGCGATAAGAAGGGCCATTGGTCTGGGTCTGATGCCTAGTGTGCATAGGCACCCTCTGGTTCTGAAGAAAAGCTCCCCGACCCGTTTTTTATGAGCTCGCAAGCACTCATGTTCGAGGCGTATTGAGACATTGTAACATCATTGCATAGCAAGCGTAGAAGCGATACTTGTACAATGCATGTACATTGACACATCTTTCTCCGCGTATCGAACTTATCACAGCTCTACTACTCACAGTTTTCTCTGAATCGTCACCCCAGAAGTATCAACTTATATTCCAGTCCCGGCCTGAGTAAAGCTGTAAAACGTCACGTCAAGGCAGACATGAATGAAAACAATCACTCTACTCACTACTGCACTAGTCTCAAATCAGTACAACATGACGCGCTTTCACGGAAAGAACACCTATGAAGGCTTCTACCTCCTGAAGAGACTAGGCCTCTATGTGTGATTAAAATACACCAAGGAAACAGTTAGAGACATTGGAGAGATACTGAGATGTGGAACATGCTATCTATCTAAATGATAGAGACCGGCAGAAGATATTTCAAGGAAGAGCTATAATAGAACCGGGGATTGGGAAGGTATTGGTCATTATAATCGGCTAACGGTGGCTTACTCTAATCGGGCTAGCGTCCGCGCTGGATGCTACCTCGTACTCAGAGCTATCTTCGAGTCCACTTCTCGCATGGATGTAACGATTTGAGTAGGCAAGCGCACTAACGGTGCTCGAGGGGAACTCTATGCGGCTTCTCCAAGGGCATCTCGACTTCTCCGTAATGACCGGCTTAGAAGGGTTGTTTTTGTCTACACTCAAAGTTTTGTCTCTTCAACAAGATATTCCCCCGCTATGCTTGGTCGTTTTGAGCAATACATTATCCTGTACCATTATACAAGTTCCGGGACATTCACAATAAATAAGAGAAACCCAACGCCCCAGTATCAGTCTTCAAAAATGAAGTTCCTGTCTTAAAAAACAATTTCTGTCTCCAGAGCCTCATCTCCTGGCTTAGCCTTTATCTCCCACTTCCTATCTCGTACACAGGCTGGTGCTGAGGTTGCTGGCCTTGTGGTGTTGGCGCGTGAGGCATGCTTATCGCGTCGACCTCATGCGCCCCCGGCGTTGGCTCTCTAGGCTGATAGGGACCAGGAGACTGTGCCGGCATTGGCGGTACAACACCGTTAGGCACGTGGTATGGTTGGGTATACGCAGGAGTAGGTGTTGGAGGGTTTGAGATTGACGGAGAATGAGTCTGAGTCTCATGAACATTCTGCTGATAGTTGAATTTCTGCGGCTCTGCTTGTTGCTGGTACGGACTCTGCGGCGGGTGTTGCATGCCAGGTTTGAAGTACTCGTTGTTTGCTGGCTGTGGTGTCTGCGGCATCGGCGGAGGCATTTGTGCCATTTGTTGATGCTGCATTGGCGGGTTATATTGAGATTGCGGGCGAGAGGCTTGTGCGGCGGCCATGGCTTGTTGGTTTGCGAGTTCTTGCTTCTTCTTCTTCTTCTGCTTGACACAACAGAAGATGATAATAGCTACGATTGCGAGGAATAGAAGGAAGACACCAGCTGCAACACCAACAATCAATCCGATCGAGACTTTGGATTTCGATGTTTTCTTTCTCCCACCACCTCCATTTGAAGGAGCAGATGTAGGGTTGGAAGTATCGGTGTCGGTTTCTGTAGCAGTACCGGTACCACTAGCGCCACCGCCGTTGGTAGAGGATCCATCCCAACCTGTAACGGCCTTTCCTGAAATTGTTGGAAGTGAGATAGACGTTGATGAGGAGAACAAGGTGTCCGTTGCGTCGAAGAAGATAGTCTCATACGTGGACAAGATGTCGTCCGTACAGCCGAAATCTTTGACTCCATCTCCAGGATACGTCCAAGTGACGCAGTACGGTGAGAAGCTATCGGTACATTTCCGGATGAAGCTATTCGACTTGCAAGCTCCATTGCAATTACCAGCCGTCAAAGACTGGTAGTCAACACAACCAGTCGCCCAGCCGCAAGCCTGGAGATCGGAACCATCACAACAACCGACTGCGCCGATGCTCGCGGACGAAAACATCATACACGTTCTGCCAATGCCGCAAGTAACGGGTAAATCTAGGATCCTAACATTAGTCTCTACCCATCCTAAACAGACGTCGATATTTCGGGACTTACCTAGATCTTCACTATAAAAACCACATGTCTCCGGGTTCACGTTTGCCCTCCTACGTAGCTCTGCGAGGGAAGGTCCATTGGTAGGCTTAGGACTTGATCCAGTTACCGCGCGAGTACCCTGAGTAGGGGCAGGTCCTCCAAAAGCGATACAGTTGACCGCTGGAAGCAGGGCAAGGGCGCTGATCAGTGTGCTAGGATACTGCATACTGAGTCTGTCTTTTATCGTGACCAAAAATTACAACTAAACAACTGAACGCAAGAGTAAAAACGAGTGACTGGGAAAGTGAACCTTGGAGAGGAAAGACACCAAGAGAAGGTAGGACCACGATGGTTTTCGACAAAAGGGCTGGAAGAGAGATTAAAACCCGGTCCCTGGGCGCCCATTGAGGTCTGGAGCTGAAAAGACGGAGACACGCCCAGGTGTCACAAAGCCCAGGGCGGCCGGACAGTAACACGAGATCATGACCCGCGCATTGGCACAACACCATTAAGAAACGATATGGAAACGCTGTGGCCGGTGTGGCTCAAGGGGAGAACCTGAGATTCAAGCCCCATGTGTTACCAGATTGGGACTATTACTCGGTTTCCTTTTGATGTGGTGTGGCTCAGTGATGTGGCTTATCGAATCACATTGCAGAGGGCGAATGATGACCCGATCTTTTTGAGGGATTGTGATGCATGAAGAAGATTGGCAAGGGAAGAAATGGGAGAGTGTATCAAATCACGAGGGTGGCTGCAAAGAAGGTTTGATATTGGCCTATCACAAATTCCCCCTGAGCCGGGAGGCTGAACTTGGCGTCGACTGCAGAAGCACGGTTCGATAAAAAAGCATCATTGCATCCTTTCTTGCGGGAGATGAGCAGCTTTACCCCTGCATATCCCTGACTGGAAGTTTCAAAATAGTATACTTTTCATCTTTTGAGAGAAGCTTGGCTTGACAAAATATTTTTGTTCTTACATCGAATGAAAACGAACGAGTCCATGCCTTGAATTTACTTGCACGTGTAAGCGTCTTAGAGGTTCTCCTCCTGCTTCTTCAAACGCTCAAATAGCTGCACGAATGCCGCCGGCTCCTGCGCTCCACCAATCTCAAACTGGTCGTTGATGGTGAAGTTGGGGACCCCACTGATGCTCTGCTCATATGCATCCTGCACCTCTTTGTCGACCTCAGGTCCTCCTTTACCGTTCTCGAGCCACTCCTTCGTCTCCGCCTCACCGAGCCCCGCCTTGACTCCTGCTTCGACGAGAACATCTTCCGACGTGATGTCCTTCTCGTTTTCAAAGTAAGCTGCGAAGAGCTCCTCAATGACTCTCGTTTGCACCAGGGGCGATCTGGCCTTGCCGAGCTGCACAAGCCGGTGAGAGTCGCGGGTGTTTCCGGTCCTGCCCCCAAACTTGAAGTTGATTCCTTCTGTCTTCCCTAGCTTTCCGAGTCGCTCGAACATCATCATGGTGCGTGCTTCTCCGAATTTGGCTTTGTAGTATTCCTGCTTGTCGATGCTTTTGGGGGCATCGGGATTCAAGTAGAAAGGAAACCAGGTGGTGGAAAAGCTATCGTTAGAGTCGGGATGCTTCGCTTTGTAGGTTTCGATCCCCTTCTCCAGTCGTTTCTTGCCGACATAGCACCACCTATGAACCGGCCAGTCAAAAATGAGGTTCTGTCAAGTATTGCCATATGAAGTACTTACGGGCACACTGTATCAGATACGACTTTGATGTCAAAGTTAGTCATTTCCAAACTTTCTCTCAGCGCCACGATGGGTTGTTTGTATTGTTTTCAATGCCGGTTTCTTTTGATGATTTCATGCTTTGATGCTTTTATAACCGCCGGGTTGATGCTGACAAATTCGGAAGTTGAGGGCGTAGATGTCGCTAATTCGGACGACCGATCGGCCGATATTGAGCTTGAATTAACGACATGCCTTCGAAGACTCAGTACACGCTCAGATCAGCAATAGGGAAGCCAATGGGCACAATGCAATGTCTAGGAGTACCGTGAATTACTCTGACGAAGGAGTTGCAATGGTCCGCGACATCCTGTTCATCCAAGGCCGTGCTCCAACAACTCTGATTCAGCCGCACGCTCAACGCTAGACTCAATACTGAATTGAAATGAATTGATACAGTTTTTTGTCTAACTTCTGTCATCGAGGTCAATATATTGCTGCGTCTCTTGAGCTCTGCATGAAAGGTTCATCTTCAATGCAACTTCGGCATCCGTCAGCTGTCTTTCTTTCAAGTTCGACTGTCCTCTATTGTCTTATTGTAGGTTCTCGCGTTTACTCGATCTTCAACGGGCCAGAATTGGTAGGTTACCAAACACTCACAATGCCATATGCTTCAGCGGCAGCCAGTGCGTCCTCGATATGATCCACACATTTATAGCCCCCCAAAACAAAAACCACTCCACCCTCAACCTCCCACCCAGTCACCCCGATGGTACAAGAGATATGAAGTCTTCTTTAGCTACGACCTTGGCGGTTCATGCAGTAATCCTCGGTCTGGTGTCGCTTAATGAAGAAGGGCAATGTTTGGTCAGGGAGGTTGTTGCATAAATTTTGAAGCAATAAATTAGGACGCGGCCGGTATGGCATGTGGGCGTGACCTGTAGTGCGACCACGTGAGTGAGGAGGGGTAGATACTATGAACTAGCAAAGGGTTGCAGGATAGAATAGTAGCATTGGGGAGATATGTATGCATATTGGACTGTATCTTGCCATATTCTTATGGCTAAACTCGAACGGGAGTTTGAATCACCTCAAATTCCTTAACATATCAACTTTTCCTAACACCCCTCAGTTAACATCATCCCGTGCTACGCCGTATGCTAGATAGGCGGAATTAGTGGTTGGAAGGGTATGGGACGTATCAATTCAATTTGATCTGATCTGGTATCTTAAGCGCATCGCTACCTTCGCTATCACCCATCTTACCTCCCCTCAAAGCCACTGTTCTCTCATTTTACCTAGTAGTAAACACCGCTAGCTCGGCTCAGCTCGGCCCGCTCGAAGGAGGGCGCAAACTCGTTAACGCACTCGCTTGCTTGATGAAAGAAACCACATCCCAAACTCCAGTGGGGTATACATACTCCCAACCAAGACTAGACCAGACCAGACCAGACCCATACCGCAGACGCCAGGTTCCCCAGAAAAGCGTATTTTCAGAATGGTACGCTTTGCTGTGAGATGGAAAGGCAGAAGATGACCAGGACTGAATGTAAGAATATGGGACTGGAGGGGGAAAAGAGGGGAGATGATCTGAAAGGACCATGGTACACATGTGTGGCATGGGCGTATTGGCGGCCATTCCACAACCATCGTCAACCCATACATCTCTTAAAGAAGAAAGAAAAGCCGACCTGCACAGATAGGGCGTTTTGGATAATACAAAGAACTATTCTTCATGGTGGCAACCGTCGACCCCTGAAGTCTATGACGCCCATCTTCAATACGAGCGGAGAAATAAACCAACTGCCGTACTTCCTTCAATACGTCCAGAGGCTTATTTACCCCCTCCACCTCGCATTCCCGTCACCTCCTGGGGTCGGTAGAATACCCATGCTTGACGATCGACCACTAACTCTGCTCGTGGTCCTTAGCTGGGCGCCCTTGCGACCCTCATCGATGCTCCCAAGCCTGCTAGTGCGTCCGTGAGTAGAGCCAGTGAGACTTGCGATGCTAGATCCGCTGACTGTGCGTTGCTTTGGTTGCGGGAGCATGCTGACGCGACGGCTGTTCAAGGCGCTCGCAGGACGAGATTGACGGCGTGCGATGGGACTCTCCTCGTTTGCCGTGCTGTCCCCCTCTTCCTCGGTGGCTAGAAGGCGACGTCCCGAGGCTGGTGCACCACTGGATAGCCGAGATGAAGATGAGCCAGGCGCAGCGCGGGTAGGGGCCTTGCCTCTTGCTGGGGTGGACGGAGACTGGATTGTACTAGCGGTTGGACGTTTGGCCACAGGGTGGGCTGCAGGTGTTGTCGAAGCAGGGCGGGCAAGTGATAGCGGGGGCAACGCGGAAGAATGTGCCAGGGGACTGCGAACGGGAATGGCAGAATGGCTTGAAACGCTTCTGAGGGCTCTGACTGGAGTCGCTTGAAGTTTGCGGTGGGGCGATGCTTCGGTTAAGGCAAGAGGCTTGAAATTATGACCGACAACCGTATCGCGCATGTTGACACTCCCGTTCCAGCGAGGCTTATTTGCTACATTATCAGATCCTGGAGTAGAGGAGCGGACCGAGCGCGTTGGTGTGCCGGCCATGGCGCGAGAGGGCGAGCTGGTTAAAGGGATGCTCTCAAGACGTGATGCTGTTAATGACTTGCGGGGGACGTTAGTAGATGGCAGGCTAGAGTATCGACGGCTGGCAGGAATGGAAGATTTGGAGCTCGAGGCGCTCGGTTGGCGAGACTTTTTTCCTGCGGGCGTAATTGTCCCTTGCTCGCTGCTCTTGCGGCTCATCAGAATTACGGAAGACGCAGGCGAGCTGGTTGGTGTGTCGATGGTAGAGCCGGTCAATGATTGCTCAGTGCGGGTAGATAGGACGGTGGAGACGGAATCTCGGAGTTTGCGGGTCGAGGTGAACTCGTCTAAAATAATATCCATATCTTTGATCTCCTGCTCAAGATCCGATACCCTCTGCCTGACATCTTGTTGGATCCTTAGAATCTCGCCGTTGACTGTGGATCGGTTCTTCATTTCAATGTCAATGAGTTCTAGCACTCTCTTCATCGAGGGCGGATAGTGCTCGCGCTTATCTTTGTACGTGGAGATGCGGGAGCCGAGCTTGTCATCATCGCCTTCGTCGATGGCCTGACGCAGCCTCTGTATGCTCTTCATGAGAGAGTCGTACATGGCAAAGGCCTTGCTGCCGGCCTGTCGGAAGCTGTGGACCCATTTGTCTTCGCCCAATTCTTCTCTCAAGGCATCAGCATCAGCTTCGAGTTTCTTTTCCTGCTTCTCGAGGACTTCTTTCCGTCGCATCAACTCATCGCAGGCAGACGGAAAGACCTTGCTTGCTCGAACGTGGAACGAAGACAGCCTCATTGGCAAGAAGTCGAGGGATGCCCGGAGCGGCTGCAGTTTTGCGAAGAGACCCAGCAATCGCGAGTTCTCCTTCTCGATCTGAGGAATGGGCGAGATGGGCGACGTCACAGCAAAGGCTGGCGGGAGGCTGAATCGGTTACTCTGGGGCCGGGCTGGCTGCCTGGGCGTCTCTTCGACGATCGTCTCTAGCTCAGCAATGTCAAACTTCTCTGCGGACTCTGCAACCGAGTCGGTGATGGCGCGATGGCGGCGTTCCTCCATCTCGAACACCAGCCGGCTGAGGTTCTCTATCTCGAGGCCAATCTCGCCCAGCACAGTGTTCCACAGCTCTTCCCACTCCATGGCAATTTCCACTTGGGCCTTGATTCCTCTTAACGTCTGTTTGATTTTCTGCCAGCCCTCGACCACCTCTTCCATTTGTGTGACGAGCCGGTTCTGGTCCTTGGCTGGCAGGGAGGCAATGTCTGGTCTGGACTGAAGGTCCTCGATGGCGATGATGTAGACGGTGACGAGGCCCTCAAACTTCCCAATGGCGGCGTCCACCTCGGCGAGACCTTCTCGTCCGGCTGCAGCGGCCCATTCGACATCGTCCTCGGCATCGAGTCCATTGAGGACCTCTGAGGCCTTTGCCATCCATAGCCTGATCTGGTTGGCCGCCTCGTGCAACGCCCGACCGGCGGCCGTCGACGTAGGTATAGCCGAGATGCTCGAGGAGAGGGAGGCGGCGGGGGGTAGCGAGATGGAGGTGAGCTGCTGTATCTGGTTGGTGAAGGACGCCCGCGAGAGCGTGTATATGGAGTTGGCCCGCGAGAAGTGCCGTCGCTGGAAGTAAGCCTCGACGTCAATGCCGTCGTGGTCGTCAAGCACCGACACTTCCTCTGCGGGCGGCGTGTCCTTTGGGGGGGGCGTCGGGGCGCGCGTTAACTCCGTCTCGGTGCTGCTCTCGGTCTCGGCGATGGTCTGGCTGAGGCTCTTCGTCTTGGTGATGTCGGGCAGGCGGTATTTCTGCGTGTCCTCACCCAGCGTGTCGCCGGCCTCAGAGTCGGACGGTAGCACCCGGTCGCTGGTGCTCACGAAGCTGCTCCGGTCGCTCTCGAAGCCGGGCGGCGGGCTCTGATCCATGGCTAAAGCCAGCGCTGGGACACTCTCCCCCGTCAGCTGCGGTATCAGCGGAGTGCCGACCTGACTGCCGCTCCTGCCCCAGGCAGTGCCTCTTCTCTCAATGTTGATGCCCTTTTCCTTGTGGAACTCGTCGAGCACGCGGATCTGACTCTCGGGAATCCGCCCAATCTGCGACGACACTTGGCGGTTGGACTCCTGCGACTGGTTCAGAAATTTCATGCGGGCCAGCAAGCCCGGCGACACGTTCCTGACGACCTTGCGGGCGCTGTCGAGGTTGCGGCTGTCGGGGCGTGCGGGCGATGTCGAGGGCGCTCTGTTGGTGGATGAGCCAGCGGTGGTGGATGTTCGCGATGCCACATCAGCGGACGTCGGGGGCACGGCGGGTGAAGAAGGAGTCGCTGCCGACGGCGTCGTGGACAAGCCGCTCATCGGATCATTTAGACGGCGCGCGAGAAGCTCAGAGACATGCGGCCGTTGCGGTGAATGTGAATGCAAATGCAGAGTGACTTGCAGAGTGAAGGAGATTATCAGCGCGTCCTAGGCTGCTGCTGCGGGCAGCAGGGGTCGCGTAAACAGGATAGTGTTAGTGTTGCACAAGCTGCTGGTGGCTGTCAACAACCGTCGTGCGTGGCGGGCGGTCTCGCTAGCAACCCAAGCAGCACAAGAGTATCATTCATGAACGAGCAGAAGAAGATGTTGTTAGAAGAAACATGCCGCTGGCACTCACACGTCAGGTGCACTCCACGGCCGTTGTTTCGCTCAACCCACCTGTTCTGAGACACATTCCGCGGCGTATCCCTTCAGCCTTGAGCACCCAAGCCCCTGTGCCGAACGGGATCACTGCCAAATTTCAAGGCTGACCCTAGCTTCCCGCCACTCTACCTCGAACCGTAGGTGCACGTGTCAACACTCAGAGCGTGATTACAATCTTGTATTTTTTGCTTGATGAGTGTAGAGCTACCTAACTTTCTGCAGGTGGATATGCAAATTCAACTTGCTGGTCTGGGGGTATCTAGAAAATCTTGAAACAAGCGCGCTCGCGACCTTCCACGGCGCTGCCGACAAATGAAATGAGGCAAAGTGGGGCGTTGGTTTGTGCAGTGACAGTGGAAGGGCTTTCGTGAACAGTTCGGATGCATCGTCAGCAAATTATTAGGGCAGTAGGGTTGAACATGAACAGAGAAAGAAAACACCACATCCGTGCCCTTCCCGCGCTTCCTGCAGGACACCCTCTTCATTCTGCCTCGTAGTTGGGATCAATCTGCAGTGTCGGCGTCTTGACCTGGTTCTTGTGCTCCTTCCATTCTCGGATGATCTCCTCGCGGACGCCCTGGCACCATTTCAGCAGAGCAGCATCGAATTTCTTCCAAGCCGCCTCGTTGTGGCCGTGCACGACACCCATGACATCCACGTCGAGCTTGACATCCCATCGAAGCTCTGCTGCCTTAGCCCAGTATCGCAGGTTCTCAGCACAGCGATATGGCTTTGCAGTGTCGGTATGATACTGCTTGATCTCTTCAAACTGGCGTCGTGACTTTTTGACGAGTGCATTGTGAAGGTGAACCAGACGAAGCCCATTCTGTAACGCCTCTAGAAATGGGGTGGGGACCTGGCCATCGGAAGGGCCCGTCCACGAAGGGAGTGGTTCTGGATTTGGGTCGAATGACTTGAGGAACATCCACTCCCTTTCCCTCTCTTTGCCAGCCCAATCACCTTCTCGCCAGCTCCAGCTGTCTCTCTCCTCCTGTTCGAGCCGTTCTTTCTCTTCTTCTGTATTTAACAGTTTACCGATGCAGAGCACCCAGGTTTGGATGCTCGAGACTTCATATGGCTGGACGCCACCTGCAAAATTGCGTGCAGCCAGACGTTTCAGAACATCTAATACTTGATACAGCTCTGCCCGGATCTCCCGTTCCGATTTGATAGTATATAAGCGTTGGGTATTCTCGTGTGCCGTATAATAGTTCTTCGCAGCTCTGATTGCTAATGTCACGACGTCGAGTAGATTCAATCCCTGAATCTCATACCACCCTTGGTTGTCTGACGACTGCTGTACTATAACACAATTTTTCGTGCCGTCCGCGTTATCGCCATTCGACTCCGTACTAGCGAAGCCCTGCTCCAGCACGTGCAAGTGTTTCATGGCTTCTTCTAAATTTTCACGTAATTCACGGCGGAGGATGGTCATATCGGGCGGGGGTGGAACGTAGACAGGTGTTGTCTTGTAGGTGCTAACAGTAGGAGGAAGCATGACGGGCTCGTTGTCTTCCCAGTTCATGGAAGCGGTTTCGTCTAACGGCGACTCGACCAGGCCCTCTCCCAGGTGGTCGTTGTCGGCAGCGACATTGTCGGATGAGGAAATGGAGAGAAGAGACATGTCGCCCTCGATCCCCGAGCCTGGACGGGACGAGCCGCTTGCGGTCCTCGATCCATTCTTTCTTGCTTTTGCAACGCGTCCGGTGGCGGTATCTAGCAGGCCGGTCCTGGCGAAATAGTATTGGAGATGTGCGATGGTCCCAAGGTTCATTACACTCTCCCGACTTCTTGCCGATTTCGAGAACTGCGTCCCTTCCGGCCTAATATAGCCTCTCCTCCTCCCCGGAACACCGCTGTCCGAGAGCCGCGAGCTTGCTGACCGGCCGGAGATAGAGGACACAGAGGAGGCTGTTGAGACGGACCTATCGAGCTGGGGGATAGCGTTCAGGGCTAGAGATGGGGAAACCCAGGGCTCCGGTGAAGAGCCTCGCTCAAGCGGAGGGGAAGGAGACGATGGCTCCTCTGCCATCGTGTGAGTCGGTTGAGGGGGCTGGCGGTGAGAGATGCGGAGAGAAGAAGGCGGTGATTTCCCTGTCGAGAGAGCTTGCTGTACGATGAAGGTGGTCAAGCTGCGGGTTGGAAGCGCAGTTCCATGGGTGTCGATTTGTTGAAGAGGTGTTGTTTGGTAGAAGGGCACTGGAAAGGAGATTAAGGGTTTCGCGTCAGGAAAAACATCTCGCTGTCTGATTAACGCCTTTTCCGCTAGCGTCCGAATCATTCACGGCGCCGAGGTTAAGTCAGCCGCATAGTGAAGAAGGAAACAGTCTCAAAGACGACGCACTTTATGCTTCAGAATGCCAGGCGTACCGCGACTTGAACGTTTCAGGGGCAGGGGGGAGGGGGTTCCTAAAGGGGCTAGCGCGTTCCTTGGGCCACAGGTGTGGTGATTCCCTCTCATCGTGTTTACTGATGTCATGGCTGCGTACAGAACACCAGAGAGAATGTGGTGCCAGACCATATCAAGATCTAATCTAAGATGAATATCTGCATCCTCTCAACTTCTTCCTATGTTCTAGTATGAGGATAAGCAGGTTCGATCCAACAGGTTCATTTTCCTTGGTATGCGCTCATATGCCGTGCTTCCAGGCAATTCTCCTAACTGGCACCTGAACGAAGGGGTTCGTCTCATCTACAGCCAGAATGTCGAACAAGCGAGTAGGCTGTCTCAGAGCTAGTGTTACTACACGCTGGTACTCGCAACGGTGTTCACAACCAACCATGCCGGCTCTTTATGGGCAGAAATTGATTATGTTCAATTTGCACTATCACGTGGTATATAAGATTGCCAATATGGCGGCAGATCTCCTACGGAGCAGACGGCGAGGCTCAGGGTAAGTTCGCCGTTAAGCAACTTATCTCACCTCACCTCCAGGACTAACCTTTGGATGCCAGACGTCAATTTTGGGTATTCCAAGCTAAGTCCGAAATACGAAACAGACGTCGGAACTGACCATTGAAGGCACTTCACCAGCAAACAAGCCTAGAGCACCTGGGTGACTGGACTTGTTACCAATGTATATCCTTAATTGCATATTGGAATGTTAGAGTCCGTAACACACCACAACCTGTCCTGCTTGGTTCTCTTAGTTTGCTGCCAAAGAGTTGTACACGGCTAGTTGGCCAACAAAACCGTATTTTGTTTATTAAATATCCCGCCCTTCTTATGTTGTAGCTATTGATGTTAATTGCCGTACTTGGACATAGCCGAAGCTCAGGAAGAAACCGACCTGTTTTTGATGCATTTCCGAGGAAGATTTTGGCAATTCAGAGCAAAATCCACATCTTGCTGACGTTGCCCCTAGTCCCAGGAAGAGGATTTACTATCTAAATCTGACCTGCTAATGTTCCGCGGTAGGTGTGGATATACTGTAGTACGAGGCGCCTGTGTGTGTTCGTCCTCTGTACTTCACATTCACGTAAGCTTGCCAAAATTGCTCTCATGCCACCTGAGTTTCCAACGTGGTACTCAACTCGGCGACGTAGAGGCTGACCAGAGAGTTCGACCCACAGGCGAAATGTTACTGATGAGCAAGATAGGAGTTCGAGAGTTGCCGAGACGTGGGAGGCTTCAGCACCGAATGTGGGACCGCGCTCCTCGGCGTGGGCGAATGAGTTCCCGAGTCGCCGATTGACAAACACTCGGGCGAGAACGGAGACAAAAACGGCATAGCGTCTGGCGAGTTTAACGTCCTCCACAGAGTCGCCATCCCTCCTCATAGCATGCTACGAACTTCAACTAACATATATAGCAAGGATGCACTCAAGAACTCTCATTGCTTACTTGTACTTCTACCCTTCTTTTCTCGAGTGCATCGGCACTCTTAGAAAACTACCAATGCGTCCCATAAAGTCGCAGCAGGATTCACTACTAAAGCAACGACATGAGCATTAGGTCAGCCCGGAGCATCTCGGGACCCTTAGCGGTCGCTACCAACGTCTTTCATGCTCAGCCTCAAGACTCATCCATGCACGAGACCTGCGTGGGTTTTTCCTCTGCCCGAATTGACAAATCCGATACCGCGCAATGCCTTGTAATGCTTCGCATTGGCCTTGTTCGGAGTTCTATTCAACGCCTAGATCTAGGAACGCCCTTCATCGAGCGTGGCTGGCGTCGCAAAGGGCATTCCTACGCCGTTGATGACTGTAACGTATTCCGAAAATCCGTCGAGCACTTGATCAAGTCTTTATCGCCTCGGGGACCCCTTTGATATCATATAAAACCCGATTTCTGCCTCAGCCGGTGTTTACTTACCATTTATCTCCACAGACACACATTATCTTTTCAGACTGCTCTGACTCCTCAAACAGCCCTCTCCCACACTAATGATCTCCAGAAGAGTAGCATCTTCGGGGGCAATGGCATCCAAGCGTGCATCGGCCCAGCTCCTCAAGTCCTGCAATGGATTGGGCACCTCCAGCGCTATCGGACTCCGGCCCAGCTTCATCATTGTGCGCCAGTGCCAGCCGCTCATAGCTAGCCGGCGGAACTTCTCTAGTACATCCAACGTGAACAGCAAAGAGTTCTTCCCAAAAAATGAGACAGAGAGGGTCAGAAAGACTGGATCTGCATGGCCCCACCCAGGTATGAACTGTAATCCTACTTTTCCTTAATGAAAACTAACAAACGCCCTCAGTCTATACACCTGAGCAAATGGACTCTGTCGTCGTTGCTCACCGAGAGGCCAAGACATATTCTGACAAGGTCGCCCTTTTAGCTGTTAAAGTCCTACGGTATGGTTTAGATCTGGCAACAGGTTATAAGCATGAGAAGGCTACTGCATTGAACAAGAAGGACCCTACCGCGGCACTCCATAAGTATGCTATGAATGAAAAGAAGTACATGATCCGGAACGTCTTCCTCGAGAGCGTGGCAGGCGTCCCAGGAATGGTAGCCGGTATGCTGAGGCATCTACATTCCATGAGGCGCATGAAGAGGGACAATGGATGGTGAGCATGGAGCTCCCGGCTAACTGGATAGCCCGAGCATTGGCTGATGTCAACCAGGATCGAAACCCTGTTGGAAGAGAGCTTCAACGAGAGGATGCATCTCCTCACCTTCCTGAAGATGTCTGAGCCCGGACTCTTCATGCGCCTCATGGTCCTCGGTGCTCAGGGTGTCTGGTTCAATGCCCTGTTCCTTGCGTACCTGATCAGCCCACGAACCGTCCACCGATTTGTCGGATACTTGGAGGAAGAGGCGGTCATTACATACACACGCCAGATTGCCGACATCGATGCTGGCCGCCTCCCAGAGTGGTCAAACCTGCAGGCCCCTGAGATCGCCGTAGAATACTGGAAGATGCCTGAGGGGCACCGTACCATGCGAGATCTCCTCTTGTACAGTACGTGTATTTTAGTCTAATCATTCAAGGATATCCCGCTAACATAGGCCAATAGTTCGAGCAGACGAGAGTAAGCACAGGGAGGTCAACCACACCCTTGGAAACCTCAACCAGAAAGAAGACCCAAATCCATATGTGAGCGAGTACAAAGATCTCACAAGACCGCATCCGACAAAGGGTCTCGAGCACTTGCGGGCGACTGGATGGGAACGTAGTGAGATCATCTAAACCTCAACAAATGTCCTCAAGTTTCCCTCCATTTTCACCTTCACGCAGTAGGGCACGCGTCTCTCCACTCATATTATCATATTAGTCCTAACGGTTCTTTAACAAGGCGTTAGGAAAGCATCTTGGAAGACAACGCAAAACGATACCCTCTATTCAGATTTAAGAATCGGGGTCTCACTAGTGGATTGGTACATATTCAGATACTCCTTTTAGATCTCGGCCCCACTGGCTCTGGAAGGAGCAGGTCGACCGGGCGTTTCCTACCGCTTTTATCGGCATTTTATTGGCCATGAGCAATCAACTTTAAAGTTTAGAATATACAACTACAATTGTAACTGCAAGGCAGCCTTCTCCGCACGCTAGCGCCACAAAATTGCCTGGGTAGTTTTTGATTAATTGGCTGTAAAGGACCTTAGACAGAGAATCCTATCCTCCAATCGTGTTTGCTTCAGAGCATTCTCCTGCGTTGCTACAACTACCGGCTCCCTCCACAGAAGATGGGAACACAAGACCATCGCGTTGGGACAGCGTGAATGCCCCACGGAACAGATACTTTGTGCATTTCACGAAACAGCCTTCTAATAAACCCACGCAAAGCCCGGCGAATGGCCCGAGGATACCAGCCCTCCCGCGCTACAATAATAGCTGAGGTCCAAACGCGTGGCGCGCTCAGCAAATCTAGGCCGCGTGGAGTACCATGGGGACTGGATGTGGTAAGAAGCGGTTTGATGTTGAAGAGGGGTTGCTTTACTCCTGCAAGCTGACGTGCAGCGCTTCTAATATCGAGGCGTATCCGGACGCACATTGGCTGCACAAATCGTCTGATATAAGGCGGAGATTTTCCAGAGGGTTGTCCATGCAAGACAAATTTTACAGCTTTCTAACTGATCGAAGCCGATGATCAAGACAAAAACGCCCTATTACACACAGGTGTATTCTCCTACGTCTGTTATTACATGCCAAAGAACATGACTAGGACGAAGTTGATCTACAAAACCTGTTGGCAGAATTAGAACAGTTGTTGAGATGATGCCCATTTCCCTCTTAAATCAGACCTCAGTATATGATATTGTATCTGCAAACAGATAGTAGGCAATGTGAGCAGGGAGTATTCAAATTTAGACTCCTCAGTCTTGCGCGGGCTCCATTTCATCGGCCTAGTGATTAGCAGTACGATACCTTGGTATCTTTTCACCAAGACTCCGCAACAAATCATCATGAACCGTATTCGCCCCAAACTGGAAAAACTCAATACCAGACGGTGACCACCTCCCATGTCTAAATAAGTGACCTCACCTCTAACTATCCGTCCGAAGAAGCGCAAATTTAGAAGCTAGCTTATCACTCACACCCATGCATTTCTTTTCGATGTGCTTCCCCTCCCACACTGTCCTCAATCGTCTGGCTCCGAAGTCGAGCGCTGGCCTCGCCAACGTGAACCTTCTTAATCGGTCCTAGAAATATTTTAGGTCATGCTAGCTGAGATTGTTATTATTCGGGGTCTCAAACAGATGTTGAGGTTTAAGTTGCAGCCTCCAAAGCTTGTGTGTGTGTAAGAGACCGATTGTTCGTCCTAAACGGGATTTCTGTCTACCGAAATGCCGAGGGCAATTTTCATGACGAAGATAATGGATACCAGCCAACTCAAAGCGGCTAAAACCCTAGTTATTCGCGACTTATCTAGAGCGACGTGTTCTCGAGGAAAGGAAAGGCAAGCTTCGACATCACTGTGCCATTCGGAGGGTGGCAGAGGAGTATGTGATCGATAACGACACTGAGGCTAACTTTGAATTCTTATGGTTACTCAAGGAGGTCCAGGCCAGGAGGTGAATTGAAGAAAGGATCAAGATCTCTCACTAACCAGTACTTGCTGCTGCCGAAGTAGCAAGACCAGATAGCCGACTGCTTGCTCTAGGATTGTATTCCTACTCTGCAAGCCTTTTAGCTAAAGTCCATTTGTTCGTATACGCAATCGCAGCCAGGAGGTTCAGCTAGGACTGTGTAGCATCACCACAGACATTCTCGTCTTCTTGGAAGCAAGGGTACACACAAAACCTTGGTAACCGGTCAAATCTTATTCAATGCCACATGGCTTTGGCGCATGCAGCGGGGCAAGGCCGAATTCAGGTTGTCGATTACATCTTACTCTCGCAATGGGCCTGGTGGAGCTTTGAAACAGAGAATAGCTGTGACGCCGGGGTTTTGAAAAGAGACTTGTATACACCAAGCCTGGAAGACTTTCCGGGTTTTCGTGGCCGTGAGGGAGACGACCGCTTTGAAGGGCCCATTGCCTAGGGAACTGCTATCGATACGGAAGTTGCGCGCGGAAGTCGATGTGAGTATGGTCCAAAGGGAAAAAGGAGATGGCGATCAGTTTTGAATTCAGGATGATTCTAAAGAGTGTTATTTGTAATGTAACGAGCGCAGGCCTTGCTTGCGAGCCGAGTGCCCGGGAATAAGGGTCGAGCGTGGCACAAGAAGCCCTACTCTACGTTCTCTGGAGCAAAAACTGAATCACTTGGCTATTGGCCTCTTGTCAATTCATTCCTGCCGCTGCGTTTTGCTGCAAACACATTTTCCCGTAGCCAATTTAGAAGAGAGATATTATTCCGGAGAGTTTTGACAAATAACGATGAGCGGTTTGGCTCTGCAAAGTTGGAACGAGGAGAAGGTTCTCATCGAGATGGCCGATGGATGTCCACTGTCGTGAAATTCCCCGCACCTGACGGTTCGGCATCCAAGGATAGGGCCCCACTCGCTGCACTGCCAAGATTCCTCTCCCTGTGAGACGGCTCAAACAACAGCTTCTGCACCCCACATCCGACCAACCCACGCGGTGACTTTGGCTATTGACCTTCAGCATCGGTAAGCTAAAGACGGCACGCAGTGGATAGCTCAAACGCCAGCGCCTGCATGAGCTTGGAACCCCGCATTAGGCTAGCTCCAGAAGAGGAGCTTGAAGAGCTTCCACCCTAGAGGTAAGGTTGAACTATATGACAAAAGAAGGCAGCATCAATTGCAGCCAAGATCAGCTTCGTAATGGTTCTTTATCTCACTCCTCTTGGTCGCTTCGTCCCTGTCGGTCAGCCTTCCCCTCCCCACCCCACCCCGACGAAACAGCTACTTGCTACTCGTGTTGCTGCGGAGGTCAGAAGCTTGAACTCCAGCTCTGACGTAGCTTCTGGACCCTAGCTGTTCGGCTCCGCAGAGCACAGGAGGGGAGGACATCCCAGCAAATCTGCTCAACTTCCACCACTTTCTCCGCATTCAACTTCGCCCCTGCTGTGGTGCTAATCCCAGCACAATCCTTTATCCAAGCCCGTTATTTTGGGTCGACACAGCCCTTACCCGACTTGCCAAGCCAATCAGTAGCAAGGTACCCGTTCTTTCGTGCATCCAGAGCAAAACCTCCAAGCTCAGCATTATTGCGGATCCGCAGAATTGCAATGCCGTCAAGCGGGCACTATTCCGCGCTTTACCTTTGGGACAAGTTTCTTCAGGGTCTTCGATGTCGGGTAACCTCTTTTGGTGGAGCGACGTGCATGGGTCAGGCAGGAGAAGTTTAGGTCCCCTCCTGGAGGTATGCACAGTCTAGGATCCACGATCGATGCTGACGAAATGCGCAGTTCGAGAATGGCTCAGGTGATGAAGCTCCTTCGCGCCGACGCGAACTTGTAGGTGCGGGGTCCAGTTGTTTAAAGCAGCTGGGTACTGCAATCAAATTGTTGGCCTAGGACCCAGTTGACTTGCTTCTACTGTGGTAGTACTCTCCCTACTCCTCCTGTTCATACACAGAAAGCAATTGAAGGAATCCATTTCATAAACTTTCAAGATGACTATCCCAGATGAGGTATACTAATTAAGTACTTCATGTCTTCAGGTGGCTCATTTGATGCAGGTTGACATCATCGTCTGCGGTGGAGGCTCTTGCGGGTAAGCCAGAAAACCTGACAAGAGTTCACTACTTAACGTTTTGCTCTTAGCTGCGTGGTTGCTGGGCGGCTTGCAAATTTGGACCATAATCTCCAGGTCCTCTTGATTGAGGGCGGAGAGAACAACTTGAACAACCCTTGGTAAGCCCCCCAGATTTCACTCAGCCGCTCGCCTCAATTCATTGGTTTTCAGGGTCTTCCGCCCCGGCATTTACCCCCGCAATATGAAACTGGACAGCAAGACTGCCTCGTTCTATTACTCGAGACCCTCGGAATGGCTTGATGGAAGACGGGCTGTGGTACCTTGTGCTCACATTCTAGGAGGCGGGTCCTCTATTAACTTCATGGTGAGACCCATTCCCTGGATCTTGAAAGTCGGGGAGCTGACGCAAGTCCTAGATGTACACTCGTGCCTCAGCCTCGGACTATGACGACTTCCAGGCGAAGGGCTGGACCACAAAGGAGCTCATTCCCTTGATGAAGAAGCACGAGACATACCAAGTATTCACATCAAATCACATTCGAGGGGCAACCTTTGCTAAGGCTCTCTAGCGTTCCTGCAATAACCGTGACATTCACGGCTTCGAAGGACCAATCAAGGTGTCATTTGGCAACTACACCTATCCAATCAAGGAGGACTTCTTGCGAGCATCTGAATCTCAGGGCATTCCAACGACCGATGATCTCCAGGACTTAGTCACCGGTCATGGTGCCGAACATTGGCTGAAGTGGATCAACCGAGACACTGGTCGTCGTTCTGACTCCGCGCATGGATACATTCACAGCACCCGCTCTGTTCACCAAAACTTGCACTTGATGGTCAACACCAAAGTCGACAAGGTATGTCTGCTCGAGTCGCTCGGTATGTAGCTGCTAATTCGCGCTCAGGTTGTCCTCGAGGGCGACCGAGCAGTGGGCGTTCGAACCGTTCCCACCAAGCCTCTTGCTCCAGGTCAGAACCACTCGAAGACTATCAAAGCCCGCAAGCAAATTATCGTGTCGGGTGGCACGCTAAGCTCACCCCTCATCCTCCAGCGATCTGGTATTGGTGACCCCGAGAAGCTCCGCAAGGCTGGCGTCAAGCCTCTCATTGATCTCCCCGGCGTTGGTCTCAATTTCCAAGACCACTACCTCACCTTCTCGGTCTTCCGTGCTAAGCCGCATGTTGAATCCTTCGACGACTTCGTTCGAGGTGACCCCAAGGTCCAGGAGCAAGTCTTTGGGCAGTGGAATATTAACGGCACTGGACCTCTGGCGACCAATGGTATCGAGGCAGGTGTTAAGGTTCGGCCTACAGAGGAGGAGCTCAAGATGATGGATAACTGGCCCTGTAAGGAATTCAGGTCTGGGTGGGATAGTTACTTTAAGAATAAACCCGACAAGCCTGTTATGCATTACTGTAAGGCACCAATCTCATTTTATTCGTCTTGTTCTACAAAGCAAAACACTAACAGATCACCTTTTGCAGCCGTCATCGCCGGCTGGTTCGGTGACCACATGCTCATGCCCCCGGGCAAGTTTTTCAGCATGTTCCACTTCTTAGAATACCCGTTCTCCCGTGGTTCGACTCATATCGTCTCGCCGAACCCGTACGAAGCCCCCGACTTCGATGCCGGTTTCATGAACGATAAGCGCGATATGGCACCGATGGTCTGGGGTTATATCAAATCACGGGAGACTGCTCGCAGAATGGATGCTTATGCTGGTGAAGTCCAGGCTATGCATCCTTTTTACTCGTACGACAGCCCGGCTCGGGCTAAAGATCTCGATCTCTCGACCACCAATGCGGTATGTGCTTAACCATATTCCCGTGAGAATTAAATGAGACTAATAGTATGCAGTATGCCCTCCCCGGTAATCTCACCGCTGGTATTCAGCACGGATCTTGGAGCATGCCTGTTGACAAAGGGCGAGCTCCCGAGCCAGCTTTCCTGAACTCGAACGCGCAACATGTCCAAGAGGATCTTCAGTACTCGAATGAAGATATCAAGCACATCGAAGATTGGGTGAAGAGACACGTTGAGACGTAAGCCACCCTACTTCACTACCGCCATTTATTTAACATATTAAATTAATATATAGCACCTGGCACTCCCTTGGAACCTGTTCCATGGCACCTAAGGAGGGCAACTCGATCGTCAAGCACGGCGTGCTCGACGAGCGTCTCAACGTCCACGGTGTCAAGGGCCTCAAGGTCGCTGACTTGTCCATCTGCCCCGATAACGTCGGCTGCAACACTTACTCCACTGCCCTTCTTATTGGAGAGAAGTGTGCAGTGTTGACTGCTGAGGACCTGGGTTACTCTGGCTCCGCGCTCGATATGAAGGTTCCGACGTATCATGCTCCAAGGGAGATTACGGGTTTATCTAGATTGTAAAAGCAGGAATGGGCAAACGAGGGTAGGCGGGGGCAAGCAGGGGCAAGCGAGGCTGTCTATGGAGAGGGTCATGGGGAAGCTTTTGCTCACTCCTTCATTTGGAATGAGGGTTGTTGACGGGCGTTGCGAATATTGGGCTGCGTGGCACTGCAAATCCAAAAGATCACAATCCAGAAAATCCCATATTAGGATGATGTATATAACCAGTGATGGGGATAAATTGATAAGCCGAACTCCTATAAAGCTCTATCCTGCAGACAATTCACCGTGCTCGTCCATCCCAGCCTACGATTAAGAAGCACGCTTGAGACTGGAACAGTTCTTCGAATCTAGCAGGGGACGACGCCAAACCCCCATGTGGTGGATGTGATTCCATACCCGAGGATTGGAGCGGAGCCGCAAGTCGAGATGTTGCGGTTCCGCAGGTCATGGGTGCCTCCTTTCATATTTGCTGCACGGTCGATCGTTTATTTCCGTGTGGGCAGGAAGAAGCGGCACAGATGGCAAGAGCTGAAAATGGTGCATGTCGCTTCGTCATCTCAAACACGAGCTACCGTCTTTAGGTTTGTAGGCGGTTTCACTATCTATTCCTTCAACATATGACCGAAGCACCTATTTGTGCCTAGGATGTGGGGGTTCGCACCTACGACGGGACATGCCAATATGTAATTTCAAGCAAACAACTCGAGCCTTCTTTTCTTTCTTCTTTATACTAGTAAGAAATCTAGAAAATTAAAAACTTCTTAGGTGTACCGTATTAAACGCTTCGTGTTATACGGCTTGATACGGATGCGTTTAGAGCAATTTCAATAAATGAAAGGTCGGAATTATGAGGCACTAACGTAAATAGGAGTATGGTTTTATGTTTATCTAGAAATAGAGTCTACCTGATCAGGTGTAAGCCGAAGAAAAGCCAAAAACTTAATGATCCGGTCTGTCAAAAGCATATTCCACCCTGGAAAGTTTAGAACGAGAGATAAATCTACTATGCAAGTGCACTAGCAAACCCCTAACTTCCTAAGTTATCAGAGACAACCATTAGCACCCATCAATAAAAGTCTTAGGACCTATTATCTCTGCAAACATGATAAGCTGAAAACATCTCACTTACCCTGTGGCTCCTAATATTTCGCCTTCTCACACTCCCGAGGGTGCAGGCCTGTACATCAGAAACCACTTCATCTTGATTATGAAATTTCGGAAGTCTTATATCTGCAGTGAAACTGCCTTCCCAAATCATCCTAAGGGTTTTATTCGAGAACTTTGCCCTCCGAACGTCCAGCCTTACATCGATTCTGGTCTTTCTCCACCCGAGTTCCTCTAGAATCGCTTTTATCTAGCGGATCTAGACGGTCGGAAATATAGGAGTCCTCTCTCCCAAAAATTTCACAGAATTTAGTGAAAGTCCTCGGATCAGGTCCTTTGGGCAGCATTGGATTTACCGAGTTGTGAAACTGTAGATTGGAGAAAGTGGAGGTTGAAGCGGAGCTACTTATACTCAGAATTTTAGTGGCGCAGCCCTGAGATCTCAAGCTTCTGCTTCCTAACTGTGGGGATTTAAGCTCCGCAATTTCATCACCAAGATCAAAGTCACTTTCGATAGATTTCTCTTCCGAAGCACTACTTGGCGAAATCTTGGGAGGCTCGGGCCGGACTCCGTATGGGACGTCACAAACGATAGGCGCCTTTGTGTAGGGCCTGTACCTATCATGGGAGCTTATGTCAGAGGTCTTGCTCTGGAGACTAGAAAGTGTGCTTGTCGTATCAAGGTCGATAGGGAATTTGGGGAACGAGTGGTGCGAATCCGATGAGTAAGCGGCCTGTAAGTATGGGTCGACGATATCTTGTATAGCGTGAGGGGCAATTGAATTGATCTTAGCCTCCGCTTCAAGCACATCTGGGAAACGAGCATGCTGCGCTCGATGAAGTGTGCCCACTCCATTTTATGATTCCACGCTCCTATCTAGCTCCTGAAGGGATCTAACAATATGTTCATGTGGTATCTTGAAGCAAGAATCTGTCGTTGGTATTGCGATGTTGGGGCAAGCTGCGGTACTCGGGGCCGGTATTGATCCCCACACTTCTCTGGAAGTTCTAAGTTTTGGCTGAAGTGTTGGCGATTATCCTGGTTCGACCAGACGCCTCCCTTGATCGGATAACGCTGAGCATACATGATGATAGCATGTTCAGTGGTATCCTAGGAGGTTGAAGTCAATAAGAGCGTCTGTGTGAGTTCGAGGTAGGAGTAGCAGGGATTGAATAGATATTAAAGGCGACAAGTACACTGCTACAATGCTAGGCATTCGAGCTGTTTAGCATCGAAAGTAGCTGTCCTCCTCACCGTCTACGACATTAGCTGGATAATAATCATCTCAGAGGTCTTAGTACACTGTTATGGTGTTAAGGCAGATAGTGTACAGACTTATGGTAGGGTCTGCAAAAATCTCTTCCGTATGTAAATACTAACTCATTATAACGCGGTCAGGTTAATATAGGTCGATTGTGAAGGCCAGTCAAGGGGAATGGATCGTTATTTTGTGTGCGTGCGTGCTGGCTTAGATTAACACCTATTAGACAGTTCATTCTTCAGTCCAATCCTTTTGTAATATTGTGGTTTCATATCCTAGATCTCGTGGTAGAGTGTCTCGTAAGGTCGGAATACCTGTTTGCGCTCCCGTACAATTGCTACGTTGCAAGTATTGCCATCGTCACACGGAACAGATCATCCAAAAGCGAGAGACGATTTAATCTACGGTGTACCCCCAGTAGCCCATTGTCATATCTTTGAAAGGCCTAAAAGGCTTACGTCAGAAGCTCTTAACCATAAATATGGCATCCCCGGTCCGCCCAACCTCACCACTCTCTCCACTATCCATCACTTCCCCAAAAAGCCGGAAACCACTTCTTTCATAGAATCTTCTTGCATCTCTGTTTTCAGCCACCATGCCTAGATGAACTCCACCAGCACCAAGGTCTTTGATCTTATTCAAAAAAGTAGCCATAAGCTTCAACCCATATCCTTTATTTTGATATTTCGGAAGAATATCTATGTGAAAATGGGCTGGATACTGTTTAAGAAGAGTCGGCGCTGATTTCTGTAGCAGGTTTCCTTCTGGGTCGTACACCGCTCGTCTTACATACTTCAAGATTTTGGGCTCGTTCGGATCATCCTCATTGGGCTCATCCGGCCGCGGAACGAATGTCGGGTCTAGAGTAGGAATGTATTCGTTTCTCCATTTCTTGACAAAGGTACTGGTAGATTCCGTACCAATGATATACCCGACAGCTTGACCTGAGCCGTCATCGAGAACGACACATGTTTCGGGAGAGAGGAGGAGGTATGGTCGGCACCAAACATATGAGCCAATGGTACGTGCCGGTTCGAAGTCGACTCCTTTGTCGATCGTTGCAAAGAACTGAATCTTGTGCGTCAAATACATATATTTACACGTAGAGAGTTGGGAAAACCTACGATGTGAAGGCAAGCGTCCAAATCATGTAAAGGTTCAATTGGTCTTATAAAAGGCTCGGGCATAGCTCGAAGGTTGGATGGATACCTCAACTTAAAAGCGACTGGGAAGGAAGCGGGGTTCTGCTGCAAACACCTTGAATATCACAGGAGCCTCCTAAGCCAAGTTTTTGATCTACGTTAGATTAAGTTGAGAGGAGACTCCGGTATGGGCTAGAGAAATCTAGACTGTGTAGATTAAATTCGCTATTCGATGCTGTGTAAATGAAGACTTCGGATGCGCCAGAGAGGAGGGGGAAATAAGGGCTAACCCCTTCTGGGCTAGACTAAGGTCATGCAACTAACACTCGTTATCTCAGCAAGCTCAGACGGGATGGGGAGAGAGCCTCGACAGGGGCAAGCCCCTGCTAGTGGCCTTAGTGGCGCAAGCCCCATCTCTCTAGCTAATAAGGGTGTAAGAAAGGCTTTCTCTCCCTAGCTATCTAAAGGACTTTTATAATTATTTCTTAAATACTACAACTTTACTGCTTACTTTTTATATAAGGGGACTTTCTATTATTAATTTATCTGCGTTTCTGTCCTCTAAACTTTATAAAACTTTATAGTAGTAACTATATTATATACTGCTACTGTGTATTAATTTTTAGGACAATTTGCGCGTTATCTGTTGCTAAAATAAGTAATAATTCCTCTAGCTGCACCCTACATCTACATTTACCCCCGCGTCCATCTTAGCAGCCACTAAATATACCCCCTTTATTAATGTTACTGTTGTCTGTTGTTCTAATAACCTTCTTTCCCTCTTCTTTAGACGTTAAGATGCTTTATGCTGTTACTACTAAGTAGTTAGTTAACACATTACTAGACTGCGCCTACTGCACAACATTAACTTACTATATAAAGAGATAAAAGCTTAAGCTTATATTAACGTGTATACATAAGCTTAAATAGTTACTTAGTAATTTTTTTAAGTTATACTTAGATAAACCTCTTCTAAAAAAGACTTTAAAGCCTAGTAAAAAAAAAATAATTTTTAAAAAAGCGCTTAAAAAGTATAACTTACTTATAATAATAAAGGTTAATTAGGGTGTTTAGAATAATTTTAATTTTAATTTAATTTACTAGGAGTTTAATATCTTACTTAAGAAGCCCTTGTTTAGGCAGTATTAGCCTAATGCTAAGTTAAAGGATGTTAATTTTTCTAGTACAGGCATAACTTTAGCTAAAAAGGCTCTAGCTTAGAGCAAGTTTATTAGTAGCATACTAAGTAATAAGTGTGCAGCCTAGTGTAGTTATTTAAAGGCAAAGACTTTATATAATAGTAAAGTGTACTTAATTACTGCTATTATTTTACACGCTTAGGCTTAAAGGAGGTTAAATTATTTTGCTTACCTACTAAGGCTATACTTATATAGCAGTGGCATAAAGTAATAAGTTATTAAGATGTTATTAAGTCTTAGTCTATGTAACTCTTACAAGGTTATTAACAAGAAGGTAGATAATATAGCAGATAAAATAAAGTTATTATAAGTTATATCTGTTTAGTTAGTAGTTATGTTATTTAATAGTACTTAGGTTACTACGTCTTGCAATAGACCTGCAGTCTATAATTATATATAACAATTATAATTTTTAGGACTGTATACGCAACTATGCACTAGGTACTAGTACATTTACGCAGCAAAACCTAACTACAGCGCTAATTATTAAGTGCCTATAGCTTCTATTAGATAGGCTTAAATAAACTATGTTTAAACTAAGCATGCTGCTATAGCTTAAGCACCTTATAAAGTCTAATAGCATAGTTTAGGATCCTATAAGTAAGAGGATTACTGTATATTTTATGTTATAAGTAATAGCAGCTATTTACTCTAGCGCTGTCTTATCTATATTTAAGGGGAGTAAGCTTTAGGAACTATTAATGCTAGCACTTAATATGCTACTGTATAAAACTTCTAGTTAAGTTAATTATTTAGAGGCTATTTTTTTTAATAAAGGTGTTATTAATAAGACATACAAAGTACATAATAATATATAGTTAAAGCAGCTAGGGTTACCTCTAGACACTAATAAACTAAGCTTTAAGAAGTAACTGTAGATTATGTAGGGTAACTAGAAGACAGCTAAGTTTATATAAAGTATTAAAAAAGAGCAGCAGGACGCCTCTAAGCTATATAATTAAAGGGACTAGATAATTAGGCTGCTAGTGTACTTCTATATCCTCTAGTCTCTTACATATATAATTATCTACATGTATTTCTTAGCCCTAGAAGGCTCTAATTTCTTAAGTAACTTATTACATAATATCTTATAGTTAAATTAATTAAGCATTAATAAAAGTAATGTTAAATATTACATAGCAGTTCCCCTTATTACTTTAAGCTAGAATGCTAGGATTACTAGCCTTTTTTACTAGGAGTTAAGTAATAGTAGCCTTCTCTAAAGTTTAATAGATAATATTAATAATGTTAAGCAGTACACTTTAGAGCTATACTTTAAAGCTATTAGTAAGCTTACTTTTAGAGACTATTTTAATGTCTTTAATTAAGTGCAAGTAAAGGTCTTTACTAGTCTTACATAGGACAGATAGGACAACCTAGTTAGTAAGTTTACCTTAACATGTTAGTTTCTCTAAGAAATTAAGATGTTCCTAAGCTTTTATTATGCTGTAAAGCATAGTAATATTAGGCTTATCTGCCTTTTAATTAACCTACTTGCTATTATGTTTTTTAGGTCTAAGTAGGGTTAATACAGCACTAAACTGTTATATTTTTAGTAAATGTTAACTAACAATGTCTTTACTCTAATACTCTAGCAGTCTATCCTTGCATCTAGACTAGTTAATGTACATAGAAAGCCTAATACATTTTAGGCTACTAATTTAGTGCTTAAGCTTATAAACTGTACGTACAAACTTAACATGCAGCACTTTAAGAATAAAACTTATAACGTAAACTTTACTTTTAGCTGTCTTACGCTCTCCTCCTAGTTCTACATGCAATTACGTGCGCTTATAGAGAACGCCTTTAGTAAGAAGACAAATAATAAGCATTTATAGTAAGATGTTAGGTCTAAGATATTTACTCTTACTTATTATTTACTAGAGGGCGGACAGTGTAGACCTCCTTCTAGAATATTCTAGCCTTGTGCGGCGCTACTACTTACTAGTCCTAATATTATTTTAGGGGGTGCTAAGTTGTTAGCGTCTAAGATTAAAGACTTTAATGCAGCTAATGTTATGTCTATTAATCCTGCGCTAGAATTAGATGTTACAGACCTTATAAGTATTAGCACTTATAAGTCTTTTTTTATTAATGCTGCTAGCTTCACAGGTGCAGTTAAGAACACAACATACAGTGTTACTAATAAGATACAGGATCTAATAGATAGTCTGTTTAATAACTTAGCTAAAGAATAATAAAGCAGCGTATATATAAAAATATTTACTAGCTATAGTATAAAAGTGCCTCCTACTTCTTTCTTATCTAAGTAGTTAATTATCTCTTATCTACTATAAGGACAACAGCTAGATATTAAAGAGCTACAGCAGGTCTATTAGTGCTTTGTATTATCTAGTCTTGTGGAGGATAAAATAGCCTGGCAGTAGCTGTTCAGAAGATCGGATGAAGTGACTCTGCTATCTAAGAGAGCCGAAGGCTCTCCTTATATACACCGAGCTTTGGAACATAATATCTCCAGATCCCGAGCTGCGTCCCAGGCTCTGAGCCCCCAGTCCCAGGCTCCGAGCCCCAGTCCCAGGCTCTGAGCCCCAGCCAAGGCTCTCAGTATACGCGACACACCCCCCAGGTGAGCTGCGCAGCAGCTCACCTGCGTTGAGCGTCAACTTGGCTTGTTGGAGCAGCGCTGCGCGTTTACCCTGTGTTTGTGCTTGTTGCCTTGGTGTACAGGAAGTGCCACTGCTGGTACTAAGCTTCCGGGGTCATGGTGCCATGCTTCGCCTTGGTGAGGTGAGCTCTGTACTCTGCTCGTACGAGATTCTTCGTGCTTGCGTCTGTTGGTGCTAGCTCTTGTTTCAAGGCTCGTACGAGTGCCTGTAGGGTGGATCGGTTCTCTGACACGAGCTGCATCATTGCGGGTCCTAGGAGCTCTGGTGCGACAGTTGCATTGACCCAGTTCCAGATTGTCTGAAGACGCGTCGCGCGGGAAGCCCAGTCGCTCGATTGAGCTCGGTACTCAGCGATGTTGGTCTGGTACTGTGCGTTGGCCTTCTCCAGTGGGTTCTCAGCAGTGATCGCTCTGAGTGTGGGCATCTCTGGAGCGCTGTCCATAGGATTTGGAGCGTCTGGTCCATCTGGATTGATTATGTCCCATAGGTTTTTGCTGAGAGCATGGAACTGGAGCTGGATAAACTAGAGAGGCCAGCTCGCGTGGTCCTTGAGCTGGTATGCTCCTGTTGGGAGAGGAGCATCTTAATCAGCCATGACGTGGGCTTTAGAGGTGATGAGGATTAATGAGGATAAGGAAAAGAGCTTCTAAACAGCTTTTGCTAGCGCTATAGTTACGTAGGGAGAATTGTCCTAGGTTCTTAAAGCGCTGGGCCTATAACTGTGGAGGATAAAATAGCCTGGCAGTAGCTGTTTAGAAGATTGGATGAAGTGACTCTGCTATCTAAGAGAGCCGAAGGCTCTCCTTATATACACTGAGCTTCGGAACATAATATCTCCAGATCCTGAGCTGCGTCCCAGGCTCTAAGCCCCTAGTCCTAGGCTCTAAGCCCTAGTCCTAGGCTCTAAGCCCTAGCTAAGGCTCTTAGTATACGCGACAAGTCTTAAATTAATTAATTTGCCTGCAAAATTTAGGCCTGTACTGGCATAATTAGACGTCGCCCTATCTCTAAATGGGCTGAGTATCCTACTAATCTTAGCTTGTTAGTTAACGCGTTTAGACAATATCCTATTTAGTTAATAGTTACGTGCACTATATGTTTACTGCAGTTAATCCCTCTAATCTCTTTTTATACTGTTGCTGCCTAGCTTGCTTGTTGTTAAATTAGGCTACATAATAACAAAAATCTGCTTACATATGTTATATCTATGTGTTTTCACCCTTTTAGGAGACTAAAAAGGTTAAAAGCACTTTAATTTTAACACTAGTTAAATGCTAAAAGCTTAAATTACTCTTTAATAAGTCTTATAACGCCTATTTTTACTACTATAAGGCACTTTTTAAGTAGTTTAAGTACTCTTACTGCTAGAGTAAAGGTAAAAGGCTAAGGGTATATAAAGAGCCTGCCCCTCTGCTAAATCCTCTTAACTTATTATCCTTAGCCTTTAAATCCTACTCTGCTAAGTCACCCTAACCTCTCCCTTTAAACTGCGCTAAATATAATATAGGAACACTAATTACTTCTTCTTTTTTTTTTACTTAATCCTTGCTTAATTCTAGCCCTCTTTACTTAATCCTTACCCTTCTTGCTTAATTCTTACTTAATTCTTACTTTTTTTACTTAATTCTTGCCTTTTTTGCTTAATCCTTACTCTTTACTTAATCCTTACTTAATTTTTACCTTTGCTTAATTCTTGCCCTTCTTACTTAATCTTTGCCTTTACTTTATTTACTTTTTAGCGCCTTATAATCTGCTAAGTATTCTTAATTTCTTTAGTTTAAATTATACTAAATAGTGTTTACAGATTAGCTAATTACTAGTCTTAGATATAGTTTAATACATGCTAGACTGCTAATAGTAAAATAGATCTGCTTATATTTATATAGGGTTAAAACTAGTGTGCTTTTTAGTTGCTTTTTGTATTTTGTTTGCGTGTTCTGTTTCCCCTATCCTAGATCTGTGGACTGGCCAACCTGGACGGACGACTCCCCTAGACCTGGACGGACAACTCCCCTAGACCTAGACAGACAACTCCCCTAGACCTAGAACTAGATAGATCTAGACTGTGGGCACTAAGGGCTTTTAATTATACATTGTAGTTAAATCTAAAAGTAATAGCAAGTAATTTAGAGGCTTAAACATTTTTTATTAAACTTATTTATTCTGTCTATTAAAAGATAAACTCTCTTATAGAGAAAACTATTATAAGATAGTAGACTAAAATTAAGCGCTTTTATAGCAGTCTGTGTTTATTAACTAGTGCTATTGCATGTAAGCCTTACTCTTAATAGAGTAAATAAGGGCACTCTTATAGTTATAAGAGTTAAATTTCTAGTATAAAACAGAAAAGTCTCTAAAACTAGTTTTTAATATTATGTTATAAATCTTCTCTAAAGCCTACTCTTAGAAGTTAAGAAGCTTATAGTTACTTTATAGCTGTTTATAACTAAAAAGGGCCTATTAGTTTAAAAAGCTGTTACTGTCTAGCTAAAAGGCACACCTAATTATCTATAATATTTAAGACTAAGTACTACCTACATCTAAAGTTAAAATTTACACTAAGTGTTTAACATATTGTTAATGTAAATTCTGCTGTTAGTTACTATAAATGTTGCTAAATATAGGCTTTATAATGTAGTAAAGCGCTTAGACATAAGACTATTTAATTATATACTAGCAACTTCTTAGTTTTTAGCATATCCTTTCTAACTTTATTGTTAATAATAACATATAGCACCTCTTACCTTACTCTTTTACACTGTGCTTTTGCGCTTTACTTTGCTCTCTCTGTTCTTATCTATTACTATACTGCTAGCAAATACTATATTATTTAACATAACCTTAACTAATGTGTTTTTTTACACTAAAGGAAGTGTAACACTGCGCCCTTTAGAATTACACTTCTACTATAACTTTACTATAACCTTAGCTAACTTATTTTTTTATACTACAAAGAGTAAGGCAACTCTGTGTTATAAACCTTAAGAAATAGAAACGTAGAAGTGCCTAAGAAAAAAAAGGCTATATAGTAGCCTAAAAAAAAGAAGGCTATGTAGTAGCCTAAAAAAAAAAAGACTATGTAAGAACTCTATGCTATTAAGAGTTACACTTCTAACACTACTCTAACTAATTTGTTGCCTTACGCTATAAAAAAAGGCGCATAAGCATAGTAAAACTTTAACTAACATGCTTATTAATATAACTTTAAGTCTTTTATAGTTAGAGTTAATGTAATGTTTTATTAACACTTCTAGCTATCTAGCTGCAGCTCTGCAGCGTCGCAGTGTATACGCACTTTAGATACACTGCTGTTGTAACTATTAAACAAGTGCCTCTACTGCTTACAGATTAGAGTTGTAATTAGTATAATTAAGTTAACATAAAATACCTTAACTTTAGCTAGGGGAATTTAAGTGTTCTTTATAAAGCTAGCTAAACCCTCTGTCCTTCTTAATAATCTTAGAGAATAGGTAATAAGAGAGTAGCGCACTAGCTGCTTGCTTTGCCTAATGCTATAATAGAGACAGGGACTAGCAACAGCGTCTTTAGGGATATTTAGTAGCGTTGTAGAAGCACTACTTAGAGGCTAATTAGTAATAGCTAGAGTATAAGGTGTTTACTTAGCGTTAGGTATACTAAAAACTGCACTAGCACACTGCCTACAACAGACAGGCGTATACAACTCTATTCTAGGGGAATATAGTATACTAAAAGCACTAGAAGCTATTGTAAACGCATTGTCTATAAAAGAGCTACTGTAATTTGTTAGATCTGTTAGTATGTAACTGTCTAGGGGAGAAGGAGAACTGCTACTAATTAGTAAATCTAGGAACATGCTTAATTCTATAGACATAAATAAGGTATCTAGCTTTACTAACTATAATAAGCTAATAAACTAATTAGTTTATTACTACTGTTAAGTAAACTAACATTAAGCAGCCTAGATAGTAAGACTTTTATTATAAGACTAAAAACTAGTAACTAAGGATAAATAAGCTAAAAAGCCTAAAGTAGTTAAAACTTTACCTATGTTTCTAAACTTATAATGTAGTAACTAAATAATCTGTCTAACCTTATAAATAACTATAGTTAGATAAAATTCTATAAAAGGCTAGTCTAAAGGCAGACAGTCTTTTATGCTATTATAGTCTATCTTGTTCTTAAATATTTAGGACGCCCTTTAACTATTTAGAGCCCTTTTCCTAGCTATAAGTTTAGCTAGCGCCTATTATGTAGGTTCTAGCATAAATATAAATAAAAAAGGCAGTATTTATATGTTACTAGCTGTAATACTGTAGACTGCTAAGAAGTGCTTAAGGGCTAGTGCTTAAAATATCTTTTGCAGGTACTACAACACAACACTAGCCCTAGTATTTGCACCTAGGGCAGTGGGTTTAGTTTCTAGGACTGCAGCAACCTAATATGGCACAAGATATAGATTACATCTAGTGCAATACTTTTTAGGCAGAGAGGGTGTACACTTTGTTAACTTAATAGCAAGGTCTTTTTAGAAATACTAAAGCATATGCTTATAGTAACACTTAGAGTTAATTAAGGCCTTTTAATTAGAACTAATAGTAGCCTGCTAAACTAGTTACTTATTTATCTAGTTAAAAGGCCTACTAGCACGCCTATGTTTTTAATATACTTAAACACAGTTTTAAGTATCTTTTAATGTTACTATTATAGACTTAGACATTTTAAAAGAATCTTTAGCTACTAAAGTTACCTCTAGCATAACTTTTATTATAAAAGTTGCGCTATTCTAACTACTACTAGTAACTACTCTTTTAAGCAAATTTACTAAGATAGCTTAATAAAGCATAGACACTATTATTCTATAATAAGGCTTTACCTTTAAGCCTTACTAACTTTTTACTGTTTACATAACTATGCTAATAGCGCTACTACTTGCACTATTACTGCTAACTAAGTCTGTTAAATTAGTACTAAGGCAGTTAAAGGCATAGAAGGGGACGTACAGCATAGCTATAGCAGTCTTACTAGGCCTACGCGCACCACGCCTAAAGCGCTAGACAAGATTGCTAATATCCTAAGTAATTAAAATGCTCTACTAGTATACCTACTGTATACTAGACAAGTCTATACTTATACTAAGAGCAGTAGTGTAAATAATAATTTATATAGAAAAGTCTACTTTCTTAAAGTTCTTATGTATGTTTTTTTAGTTAGCATCTGCAACACAACCTGTGTATGCCTAGATAATACTCTTAGCTTGTGCTATAGTATATCCTTTATAGGATACAAGCTATTATTAGAGAAGTCTAGTAACTTTAGTAATATAGGTCTTACTATTAATAAACACATAAGTTTTTAGTATAAGAGCTAGGTTACTAGGGATACTAGGTGTATTCTTATTCTAACTGCTATTAACAATGCGTAGTAGCTAGGTGTAGGTCCCCTTACTGTTATAGTTAATTAGAATAATTATGTACACAATTTCTAGCTAATTAACAAATGTCTAAATAACCTCTAGGCTTCTAATAAAATCTCTGCTATTATT